TCTGGCCCTTATTCAAACAGAAACATGAACAAACCCAACAGCCATCTGGTCCCATGGTTTTGGTTGCTGAGTTGAGGGGGCACATCCTGAGGAGATTCTGCAAGAGCTCACAAACCATTCAAGTAAACATTTGTCTCTATGAACTAAAGCCATGATCCAAAAAAAGGCAATTCTCCTTTATTGCCACATCTCTATGCATCAGTTATGGCAGAACATTTCAGTTCTTTGTCAAGCCTTTTAATCACCTGTGTGCAGCACCAAGAAGGGCAGGAGGGGCATCCTTGGATGGCAGAGCTCACCTAAAGCCACCCAGCTCATGGGATCCAACAGAAAGTGCTGAAGGTGGAACCCAGTGGGATCCAACCCAGAGGATGTCATTGATTTCACAGCAGACAGAGCACAGCAGGTAAGGAAAGCTTCAGCCAGGGAGCTGCAGCTCCTGGAGTCCCCACCTTTGTCACAAGGGGACATTTCCCATATATGGCCCAAGCCAGCAGGGTCACATTTCAGTGCAGGCTTTGGCAAGCCCAGGCATTCAGACATGGTGAGTCAGTGCTCCAGAAACCACTGGAGTTTAGAAACCAATAAATCTACTCCGTTTTGGTTGAGTTTTTAAATTCACCTTCTATTGGGGGTTTTTCTTCAACCTTTGCAGTACACAGGCACCATCACATTTTCATTTTGCTTCTCTGTAACTGGCAGGAGCATTTCTTTCCATTCTGGGGGTTTTTTTGCTTTGTAAAATGACAGACAAGATTTTCATATTAGACTAAATCCTGGTGTTGGGGCATGAAGAATGAAACCAGACCAACTATCGTGGAGGCTGGGAACACAGTAAGCTGTCTTGTACCTTCACACAGCCCTCTAACAACAAAAAATACTTATTTTTTAAATAAAACCTCAAAAGATCTTCACTTCTGTCCTCAGATCCCAAACAAACAACAATTTATCTGACATTCCAGCCCAACCAGGCAGGATTGCTGCCAGTAAGAAGTTCCCTGTGACACAATCTTTTCCACCACTGACCTGATACCATCAGCATGACCTTTCTTCTCTTTTAAACTCTGCTTTCCTCAGTTCAATAGTTCAGCAGAAACTGACCCATTTTTGATTACACAAAAAAAAAAAAAATCAGATACCACACAATCCTATTAAAAAAAAATTAAACTCCAAATTTCAAAAAATATCATTAGGAAGTTATTTTCAGAATAGTAATGAAAGAAATAATGTGGGACAATTCAGGGTGAGGATTTTTAGTTTCAGTTTCCAGCTCTGTGAGTCTGGACCACTTCAGTTCTCTGTGCTTGAGTCTTCCATAAGCAAAATACAGATAATGCCCCATCAGGGAATGGAATCAATATTTCATTTCTTTAAAGCAGTACTGTATTCATAATGGAATTAAATACTTTCAGAGAACTGCAGAGCTCATAGAAGTGAGGCACTTAAGGGAAGAAAGGTGAGTGAACAACCCCCTTGCAATTCTGCAGAGCATCCTAACAATTTTACAACACAGAATATTAAAAAAAAAAGGATAAAACAAGATGATTTTGAGGCCAAATTCATGTTTGACATAAGTGCAAAAGACAATGCAAGTCCTGTTCATTTCTTGTGGCTTTTTTTTTTCTTTTTGTTTGTTTGAACTCTTTCCCAGTTCACAATGAAAATTATGGCCAACATGCAGAAAAAGAAGCTTGTTTTTAATTAAAGGGGCATTTCAACTTAAAAATAAAAGCTTTACTGACAAATGTGGCATTTTAAAAAAACACTACAAAACAAAAAAGACAAATTCTTGGGACTTAAGGTGTGAAGGAAGCAGCATGCTGTCAAACTGCAGGCTAGGAAAACATCAAGGCTTTTAGATCTCAAATCTTTTGTACATGTTGTAAAAAAACCCTTTCCCTTAGAAGTTTAGAAGGTCTTGTCAATACATTTAGATTATTTTGTCAAATATCAAGGATTAAGGCTGATTAAGTGGACAGTAACAGTTTATACCCTTTTCTTCCTATTTTCTTTCATTAAGGGAATTTTTAGGAAATACCACCATGTATTGGATTTAATGTCAAGCCTGCATCTCTTATTCCTGCCAGAACAGTGAAAGCTTTAGCTGATGTTATTAAGAGCCACATCTAGAAGTAAAAAAGCAAGCTCAGGCCTCCAGAACAATGTCTGACCAAGGGAGTTTGGCTTTGGGCAGAGCAGCACTGAGGGAGACAGGACTCATTCCAAGAATGATCATCTTACTTCCCTCAGACAAAGTAAAGCCTTTCATGACCCAGCCTGGGCTCTGGCCTACATTCTGCTGGATGAAAAGGCTTCATTATATGCAGTTGAACACATTGTTTGAAAACCTGATAGAAATGGCCTTTACCACAGCAAGAGCTGAACAAACTGAAATCGTGCAATGCTAAGGGTTCCAAGGGACCAAAATGGCAAAACTGCATTAAAAGTGTTGTGTGTTCTCTCTGAAACACACACAGCTGAAACCCTGACATAGGTTTTCAGCCATGGCAGAGCCCAGAGATGGTATCAGGGTGATCAGATAAGGTTATTTGCAGATTTAAGGTGCCTCTGAAGTCAGACAGAAACAAAACACTTGCAGCATTTCTTTTTAAGGGTGTTATTTTGCCATACACAAGCAGTCATTTCTAGGTGCTTTGAATTCCAGCTGCACTCTCCCTGCACACCCTGTAGGCATTCCAAGTTACTCCTGAAGCCTGGCAGGGAGCTGAACAACTATTTCAGTTCTTTCCAGGAATTCCTTCACTCAGAATGAAGAATGAATTCCTCAGGTATTTCCATTGCAAAAATCCATCTGTGATGTGTATTCAGGTCAAAGGAGCAAGTAACAAATAGTATAAATAACAGCAGGAATAGAAAAGTAGTTTCCCAAAAAGGACACTGATGGTTTGGGCTTTATTTTTATTAAATTCATGTTTCAACTCCCTCTTGTTTCTCTTCTGCATTAGAGACAAAATCTTGCTCCTCCTACCCCAGAGCCCTGTGCACAAGAAGATGCAGAGTGACAGATGAGGTGTGACTGAGCTGACAAGGAATTCCATGATCAACAATTGATCAACAACTGATCAGCTTTTCCATCTCAGAGACACCAGGATTGCATGGATTATGCAATCTCAGCCTCTGTCTGACTGGCAGGAACCTGGGCCTGAGCTCCAAGAGCCTGAAACAGCCCCTACATAAAAACCAGCTGAGATTTCTGCTCTTTGGATTATACAGTCAATCCTTGGAAATCTACATTTTACTTGGAATCTGCAAAATAAACTGTTTCCAAACTCTCCTGCAATGCTTGTGCAAGGGCCTCAGGACAGGCAGGGATCTGGCCAGCTGTGCCACCAGCCACAGAAGCTGCATTTTAGAACTCTCCCTTCTCTGGAACAATTGGAACTTTCTCCAGGCTGAAGTCTGCACACAGAGCTCAGTGTTTCCCTGCAAGCACACAACAGCTCCATTATTGTTTAACTACCAAAAACCAGCTCCAACAATCTATCAAGCTTGACATTCTATCCATCTCTGCTGCTAGACCAGACTGCTAGGCACATATATAGGAAGAGGTTTATGGATTCAGTAAGAAAAAAGTCATTTTGTTAATCTAAACAGAGATTTCTCTTCTTTTAACCATTTATTTGTCATTTTAAAAACCATTCAGGAACAGAGGCCTGTTTCTCCTCAGATTATCAAATTCAAGTGTCTATAAAGAAATCTATTCCAGCAGATGAATAAAAGCTCCTTTTTAAGACACACATAAACCAAATTCAAAGGCAATCCCACAGAGGAGGAGTTGCTCACTGCCTCAGAGCTGCAGCACCAGCTGTGCTCCCAGCCTGGCCATGATTATTTAACACCAAACCACAGCAGAGCATGAAGCTGCTGCTTATCCCCCTCCATGCCCAGGGACAGCACTGCTGGCAAGTTCTCCAAGTAGAAAAGCAGCTTTCCATGGGCCAGGCAAAGCCCTGGGAAGCACCAGCACATCCATGGAAGCAAACTTATCAATGCATGATGCAGCCCCTTGGAGGATGACCTCAAACACAGGAATTCCTCATCTGAGGGATGTCAGCAAGCCAAGCCCCTGGGGGAAGGACACCTGGCAGCCATCCTCTGGTGCCAGCAGTCATTTTGCTCTGAGCAAGGTATTTTGGCATCAACAAAAAGTAGCATCACATCAGTTTCAGTCTGGAATTCTGTGGGATGCAGTTCCTGACTCATCTGGGCAAAAGCCAAAGCAATAAAAACTCAGCTGGTGTGGGTTTAGTGATGCCACTTGTGACACTGCAATTTGAAGTCATCCATGTGTATATATAGAATATATAATGCCCAAAGGAACCATCCTTCTTGCAGCAGAGGTTACCATGCAACAAGCTGCTCCCAAAAGAGAGTATTTTAAATTGAAATTACATTTAATGAGTTTCAAATCTCACTTAACATCAGCCTAAACTAAAAGATTCAAAGCATATGCTCCTTAAGTATATTCTTATAAGCACATCCCACAACCTTCTGAATATAAATAAAAAGGTGGCAGCATTAAAAAAAAAGCTGACATTTAATGAATGTTTTAATCTCCACCAAAATAAAATGTGGAAATTCCTATTCTAAGACTATTTGGCAGAAGAGCCACAGAGCATTAGAGAAAGAAGCCTGGTTAATATTTTTGAGTAAACTGAAAACCTCAAGAGCAATTAATGTGAAGAAGTTGTAGATTTTACAGGCACTGAGAAGAATTAACAGCATCTCAGAACAACAATTCTTTCTAAAGAAAGTCCCTTATGGGAGCATAAATGGAACAAGCCAGAAAGGCCTTTCAGAGGTTAGAATGAGCCATCTCAGTTCTGAGGAAACCAGCTGAGAAAGAAGGAAAAACCTCATACAAAATCTGAATTCTTGATTTGACTGTCACACTCTTGGTTTCTTGGAGAAGGGGGTAATTTTTCAACCTTGCAATGTTGCTTGAACACTAAATATTAATCAACTTGAGAGGCACCTACCAGCAGGGGGTTAGAAACCTTAGCATGCAGGTGAGTCCTGGTCCTGACATCAGCCCAGCAGTGACAGGGTTGGATTGTCCCCACCTGTGAAACAGAGATTCCACTCACTCACCCACCCCTGCAAAGCATTCCCTGCTCCCTGAATGCCAGCTCAGGGAAGTTCACACTCCCAGCCCTGGGTTTTGTAAGGACAGTCCCTGGGAAGGGGAGGGAAGCAGGATGGGAAAGCACAGAGAGGGACTGGCAGAGATAATGACTGGAATCACTGTGGGGAGCAGGAGCTAGGCTGGGGTTTCACAATGGGCAAGCAGGGCAGGGCTGGGGGAACACCTGCACCAGGAAAATCCATGGAAGTTCAGAGCACAAGGCACAGGCAGGGAGAGAGACCTCAGCAGGGTCAGACTCCAGCATCATCCAGGTACAGCTGGGTTATGGCTGCACTCAGAGCTGAGACAAAAGAACCAATTTCTCTGGACTGCCCAGAGGTCCCCTGTGCCTGCCCAGCAGCAGGTCACACACAGCTGTGTCCAAAAAAGGGCCACATGCACACCCTTCCCTGCAGCTCTCATTATCCTGCTGCCCACAGCGTGTTTCATTAAGCACAAGTACTTGGTTCAATGTGTTTTCATTTCTTATCTTCAGATCAGGACTGGTCAGAAGGTTTCGAGAAGAGATGGAGCCAGGGGATCTTTAATTAGGTGATCCTTAAGGTTTTCCCACTCTAACAGAATAGTGGGTTCTATGGAATCCACTCTGTGATTCCATATCCTATGAAAACCCACTGGAAAGGACAGGAAAGTGGCCTAATCCTAATTAAACACCATTTTTTGCTACAGTAAAACCAACCCAGCCTAGGTGAGGAGAGCATTTCACCCAGGCAGACCTGAGGACACCAACTGCAGCCTGCCCAGCTCCACTGCCCCTCTGAACAGGACACCATGGAAATCTGCTTCCACCCCTCCAGGCAAAAGCTGCTCCCAAGTCCACACCACAGGTTTAATAACAGCACTGGCAGCTCAGCTCAGCTCATGCTCCAGCCTGATTGAAGAGTTTACAATCCCAGTTATTACTGACAACAAGCTGTGGTGCAAAGTTGCACAAGAAGTGAAAATGACACCATTTAACAAACAAACAAAACAACACAAACCCACACTGAAACCAACAGCAGTAAACAGAAAACTGAAGATGTGAAGAAGACAGATTTCAGTCATAAACTCAACTAGTGACCACTAACCTCCCAAAAACTCCCATCTCTGATTCCCTTGTGCTCCCAGTGCAGAGCAGGGCATTCAGCTCCCATTTTAGGAGCCAAATCACATGGTACCTGCCAGTGAGAAAGACTGAGCCTCACTGCAAGCCATCCTACTTTTTCTACCCTACAATTAAACACAACACTTAAGTGAGGACTTCAAAACGATCCCAAATTCAGCAAAAACTTGAGCAATTAAGCATTAACCCATGAGCACCACTGTCAAGGCAATCAGCCTTTAATTAAAAGCTCAGTGGCTGCAGCTGAGTGGATGTGCAGGCACAGAGTGCTGCAGCTGGATAAGCCTGCTCCAGGATTCCCAGCTCCCAAGGGGAAACACAACAGCCAAAGGTGATTGTGTTGGTTCATTAGATCCAATTGTGCCACCAAAAACAACTGTGGGTACAGAGAAGGACTATAAGATCCCCCTCTCCATCACTGTGGGCACAAAGGAGTTAAGGAAATTCAGTATTTGATGGGTGGGGGTAGGTAAACCAAGGATCTGGAATTGTAGGAAATATTTAAAGCCCATCACAGCTTTCTGTTCTATTCCTCAGCTCTGGAAAAATGAGGGAACAGTGTTAAAACTCTTTTTGTTTATACAATCATGTCCATGCCTTAATGATCATCTGTCTCAAAATCTGAGCCTGGAAGTGTTGAAATACAGCCCAGAGTGTAAACACAATAAAATGCCAACTTAAAATGCACCCATCACCTCCCATCCTAATGATGTGGAGACCTAAAACAGCTCCTTGGAGATCCACCAAGCTCTTCACCAGCTCCACAGTGAGGTCAGAAAGGACAGAAAAGTGCCACAGGTCCCTGCACTGCTGTGGAGCACAAAGGAGTTAGGGAGATTCAGTATTTGATGGGTGGGGGTAGGTAAACCCAGGATCTGGAATTGTAGGAAACATTTAAAGCCCATCACAGCTTTCTGCTCCATTTTTCAATTCTGGAAAAATGAGGGAACAGTGGGAAAACAAAGGATTAAAACTCTTTTTGTTTATACAATCATGTCCAAGCCTTAATGATCATCTATCTCAAAATCTGAGCTTGGAAGTGTTGAAATACAACCCAGAGTGTAAACACAATAAAATGCCCAATAAAATACCACCTTAAAATGCACCCATCATCTCCCATCCTAATGATATGGAGAGCTAAAACAGCTCCTTGGAGATCCACCAAGCTCTTCACCAGCTCCACACTGAGGTCAGAAAGGACAGAAAAGTGCCACAGGTCCCCAAACCAACATCTGAGCTTGCATCCTGTGCTCCCCACAGAGGACAGGCTGTGTGTCAGAGAGGAGGAAGTGAGCTCAACTGAAACACACAAATAAACCCCTTCAGCCAATTAAACATTACCCTGAGCACAGCTTAATGCAAGGAGCAGAAAATTAAACCCTTCCTATCTACCTTTAATGCTTGACTGAGCATGCCCAGCTGTCCCTGCAGTGCTGGAAAACACCTGAGTTATTTCTGGAGTGCAGCTGCTTCTTTATCACAGGGTCAAACACTGAGCCTGTCCATCCTCAGCCTTTTCACCTGGGGAGACTCAGGCAGGACTCTGCTCTCACTGCAGAGCTGGCATTTATTAACCTGCAGACACCAAAATACTGCTGAGAAACCCGAGGATGAGTCAATACTTCCCCCACAGGAAACACCTTGACCTGCTTACAAGGAACAAACTGCTCAGAAGGACACTCGAGGACTTTTATGTTCTCAACTTTTGCTTTCTGCAGCAAAGGAAGGACTTGGCTCAGCTTTCACTTTGCAGCACGCCCCCAGTTTTGAGCAGAGAAGGAAATTATTTGGGTCTTTAACACCAAATTAACCTTTGGACATGCTAAAACGCAAAGAGACAATAATGTGAGCAGAGAGCTCTACAGAAGGCTGGTGCTTATCCAGAATTCCTCAGCTCTCATAGCAATTTGAGCAGAACAACCTTCTAAACCCCAGAGGCCCTGTGGGAGCAGAACTCAGAAAGGGAAGAGTTACTCATCACCACTCTTAAACACGAAAAAAGAGGCTGCACCAGAGTCCCACTCCCCCTCATTAGGGAAACCCTGCCAGGGAACCCTTTGACCCCATCACCCCAAAACAAAACCCGGGTGCTGCAGCAGCCCCATTCCCCCTGCCCTGTGCCCTCTGTCCCCCTACACTCACCAACACCCCACTCCAGAGCCATTACAGCTCCTGGATAACCCTCAGTGACAGCTCCACGGCCTCACGGACCCCACATTTACCTGCGCCCACCCCACCCCATCCATCCTCCTCTACCCTGGCAGCCCCCATTGCCCCACACCCCCAACCCTCACACACACCCCCAAACCCTGCCAGCTTTTCCAAAACCCTCAAACCTGCCAGCCCCCTCTGCAGCCCAGAGCTCCCCACCCCCGAACCTGCCAGCTCCCCTCAGCGCTCCCCCCCACACCCTGTCAGCCCCCTCAGCCCCGCATCCCCCTCACACCTGGCAGCCCCCGACCCCAGCAGCGCCGCAGCCGCCTCACCTGGCCCCTGAGGAGCCGCGTCCCGGGTGGCGGCGAGGCCGGCGGGCCTGGAACGGGCGGACCCGTGCCGGTGCCTGCGCTCGGCGGCGGCGGCGCTATGGCAACTGCCCGCGGGGCACGGAGCGGCCCCAGGGCAGCCGGGCGGGGCAGCCGCGCCCCCTGGCGGACGGGAGGACTCCGCGGCCCGGGAACCGCGGGTTCGAGACCCGCCTCGGGCAGGTGGAGGAGGAAGAACAGGAGGAAGAAGGAAGAAGGAAAAAGAAAGAAGAAAGAAGGAGAAGGAAGAAGTAGAAGAAAAAGAAGGAAGGAGAAAGAAGAAGAAAGAAAGAAAGAAGGAGAAGGAAGAAGTAGAAGAAAAAGAAGGAAGGAGAAAGAAGAAGAAAGAAAGAAAGAAGGAGAAAGAAGGAGAAGGAAGGAGAAGAAGAAAAAGAAAGGAGAAGGAAGAAGTAGAAGAAAAAGAAAGGAGAAGGAAGAAGTAGAAGAAAAAGAAAGGAGAAGGAAGAAGTAGGAGAAAAAGAAAGGAGAAGGAAGAAGTAGAAGAAAAAGAAAGGAGAAGGAAGAAGTAGAAGAAAAAGAAAGGAGAAAGAAGAAGTAGAAGAAAAAGAAAGGAGAAGGAAGAAGTAGGAGAAAAAGAAAGGAGAAGGAAGAAGTAGAAGAAAAAGAAAGGAGAAGGAAGAAGTAGAAGAAAAAGAAAGGAGAAAGAAGAAGTAGAAGAAAAAGAAAGGAGAAGGAAGAAGTAGAAAGAAGTAGAAGATAAAAGGAAGAAGGAGAAAGAAGAAGAAAGAAGGAGAAGGAAGAAGTAGAAGAAAAAGAAAGAAGGAAGGAAAGAACACTGTGGGGTTCCTGTGTGCTGGGGGAGTCCCTTGGGTGCACACAGGAAGGGAGAATACACCGAGAGATCACAGAATCAGTCGGCATGGAAAACATCCCATAATCACCTTTTCTTCCTCCCAATGTCCAACCTGAGCCTCCCTTGGCATGGCTTGAGACTCCTGTCTTCTTATACTGAGATACAGACTCACAGAGACATAGACACACAGCCCATACACACACACACGCACACAATTCATGTGAACACACATTTATATGTGTATTTTATATACAAATATATATATAAATATGGTTTTTATATGTGTATTTTATATACAAATATATATTTTTATATGTACAAAAGGACAAATAAGCCCTTAGTGCCAAAAGGCATCCCTGCTGCTCGGAGTGAGAGGTGCCCTGCCTGCCCTGGGATGGGATTCCCTGCCCTGCTCCAAGCCTTTCCAGAGGTTTTCCAGCTGTTTTGGGCATTGGGAAGAGGCAGAGAAAAATAATATCCTGAGTTATGAGTTATATATATATATATATATATATATATACACTATATATATAACTCATATATATATAGATTATACATATATATATTATATATATACTCATTATATATATATATATAAAATGAGTTCTGCATTACAGAGCTGCAGGCGGGCCTGTCTGAGCATGGAGGGGAAAGGCTGAATGAGGATATTTAGGTCAGAAACTCCTTTAAGCCTGATTTTACTATGCAAATTTAGGGCAAATGAGCTTGAGCAGGAAGTCAGGTTTTTCCAGGTGGGGTAAGAGAGTCTCTGAACTCTCCTGCTGTCCCCACACTGTGAAACAGCGAGCAGCCACAGCGACACCTCCCCTGCAGCAACACAGCCAGAAATTCAGGACACCCCTGTGACCCCAGAGCACACCTGGGAGCAGAAGAGCTTCCACACAAAACCCCCAAATGTTTCCCAAAAGGGAAAAAACTCCCACAGCTGCCATTAGCTGGATGCCAAGGAGAGAAAATCCCCCCCCCCAGTCAGGATTATCCCAATGAAAGCTCTGAAGGAGCCCAGAGCTCACCCCATCACCTTTCCTGGCAGACTGGCACTGTCCCTGTTGAGTCACCTCCCTGTGACTCCCTGGGCAAGGCTGGAATTCCTCCTGTCATTTCTCAGGGATCACAGGGAGGATGCACACGTGGTTGGTCTCATGCTGACTCTAACGAGGGCTCAGAGCATTTTGTTCCTCTCCTCATCCTGCTGGTTAGGGGAAGGAAACATCTGGAAAGCCCTCTTGGTTCAAATATAACCCCAGAGGTTTCTATTTGGCTCTTCCCTGCTCCACACTCCCCTACAAGAGCTTTGCTTCCCCTGCAGAACCTCAGGCAGAGAGATAAATTAGGAATTAAAATGTGTGTGCACCACCCCTTCACCCACAGCTCCAAGTGAGGAGCTGGCAAGGAATTAACCAACAAGAAATTAGCTAATAAGGTGAATTTCTGCTTGTAAGATCCAGCCACGTCAGCACAGGTCTCCAGCAGACAGGAACACCATCCTCTTCCTCCTCACCCCAACAACCAGGCTGCAATCCCTACAGCCAAACCTCCCCTCCTGAGCCTGGAGAGCCCAGAAATGCAAATAAATACACAACTTTTAAAAGTTTTCAGTAAAAAAAAATATATGTATTTAATGTGCCAAGCACAGCCTTAGAGTGCTCCAGCAGCTGTGGTGCTGTGTGATTAGTTTAATGAGCATTCCCTAATTAGTCCCAGCCCCCAAATTCTCCATCAGCTGCCTTGAAGTGCAAACCATGGCTCAGCTCACCTGCCAAGGAGGTCTCCTAAACTGAGGGCATCTGAGACATCTGGGATCAAGAGGAAACTCCACATCCAAGCCTCCCCTCTCCTCAGGAGGTTGCCAAGAGCACACAAGAGCAGCTGGAAAGCACTGGAGCAGGGCAAGATTATTCTAAACATCACCACATGCAATTGAATAGGTCCTTGAGCATCCAGCAGGGCCAGCTGGTGCCAGCCAGGACCCATCTGCCTCAGCTGAGCCAGATCAGAACCTCCATCAGTTATCAGCAAGCCTTTGCACAGCCCAGCTGTGCCCCAAAAACACCAGCAGGTCCCCACAGGGCCTGGTGTTCCTCTGGGGAGAAGGGAAGATCAAGCATCTCATTAAATCCCTGCTCATCAGCAGCCCAGGCCTGCTCAACATTTTAATTAAGTTCAGAGCAGCTGTCATTAACTGAATTCCAGCTCTCAACAACCACAGCAATGTGCAACAGCTTTGTATTTTCCTTTTATTTCTGAACCAAGCCCACTGTGGGCCCAAGGCTGATCAGAACTCCAGAGGGCAGGGAGCAGAACCAGGACAGGGAGCTGTGGGGTTGTGCAGGGACAAGGCAGCTGATCCCAAACACCACCTGAGCACTCTGGGGGTGAAGAGAAGCCTGCAGCAAGGACAGGACCTGTCCTGCTGCCCTCCCAGCCCAGCCACTGCAGGCACAGAGGTCTCCAGGGAACCCCACATTCAGTTTTTCCACGGGGCAGAAGAACAAGAGATTTTTCTTGTTGGTCCTTCCCAGGCTTGCAGGACTCTCAGCCAGCTTGTAAAACCTTCAGTGCTTGCCTGCTTTGGTGCAGCTCTCTTGAACCTTGTGGCATTTGCTGCTCCAGCCCATCAGAGCCCCTGTGTGGGTGTCACCAGGCTCGGTTCCAACACGTCACCATTCCCAATGTCCAGCTCCACCTGGATCCCTGTTGGCTGCAAGGAGGAGCAGAGCAAAGCTTATCCTCACACTGCTGGACTCTTCATCACTCCATCTCCTGTCTCAGAGCCAAAAGTCCCAGTTAATCCCCCCAAGGATTGCCTGCTGCTGGTGCCCCTGTTTTAACTGGGTCTGCTGAATGCAGAGATACAAATAGACAATGCAATTTAGCAAAGAAAGAACATCTTGCTGTGAGACATCCCCAGACACACCATCATTTAGCACAGCCAGGATGCATTTCACTGCCTAGAACACCACCATACCCAAATCTGTTGTTTGGATCAAGCAGCAGAGCAGGCTCAGAGCCAGGAGGCTCGGGCAGTGCTGATGTGGGAATGTGCCCCTTGTTGATGGAGTGACCAAATTATCCTTTGTCTCCTTAAAAAGGAAAAAAGCCCAGAAGTTTCTCTCCTCAATTAGGTAAAAAGACACCTCATAGGACCTTGGGGAGTTCACCTCAAACTTAAGGATAACCAACTGGACAAGAGGCAAAAAGTCCCACCTAAGCAATTTACTAGAAAAAGAAGAGAACAAAGGAACAAATCACTTTTGTGGGTGTTTTACCAGGAGCAAGAACCTCTTGCCCCTGCTTGTGTTTTCTCTGTAAAAAGCTTTGTTATTTTGCCTTTTATTAACACTTTTCTGTTTTCAGCACTGCCAGAGAAGCCATCCTGCTGATTTTATGCCATCTGAGGTGGCTGAGCTATCTCAGGTGTGGTACAGATCTCCAAGAGCTGATAAGACCTGGCTGGAGGAGACCCCTCTATCATGCTGCCTGTGCACAGGCAGGCCTCAAGCTGAAGTCAGCTTTGAAGGTGTCAGAGCCATTTCCACAGGACCCTGACTGCCCACACACCATCAGGAGAGTGAAAGCAACACCAGGAACACAGTGACCTGGATTGGAAGTGCTGCCATGTGCTATTCACATTCTCTGGAAAAATCCCTTCAACCAGGGTTTTTTCTCCTGGGAAGCTGAGAAGCCTCAGAGAAAAGGAAAACAATTCTTATCTCATTTGCTTCTCCTGTGTTGTGCTCATGTGGAATGTGTTTGGAGATTGTTTACCCACAGGTGATTGTTCCATTGGATTCTGCTGGGAGTTGTTTTCACTCTTTGGCCAATCACAGCCAAGCTGTGTCAGGACTCTGGAGAGAGTCACCAGTTTTCATTATTATCTTTTAGCCTTCTCTAAGTATCCTGTCAGTATTCTTTAGTTCAGTATTCTTTAATATAATATAGTATAATAAAGTAATAAATCAGCCTTCTGATAAGATGGAGTCAGATTCATCATTCCTGCCTTTGTTGGCACATCCCCTGCAAATCCAATAGTGCCACTCATTTATCCTGCCTAGAAACACCAGCCCAGGCTGCTGGCAGCAGATGCTCTGCTCTGCTCTTCTGCAGCACCCAGCCAGGCTGCACAGGCTGCTGTCCCACTGCCAGGCTGGATCCTGCCCCAGCCCACAGAGCCAGGGCCAGTCCCAGAGGATGGGTGGGTGGGTGGATGGATGGATGGATGGGTGGATGATGGATGGATGGATGGATGGATGGATGGATGGATGGATGGATGGATGGATGGATGATGGATGGATGGATGGATGGATGGATGGATGGATGGATGGATGATGGGTGATAGATGGATGGATGGATGTGGATGGATGGATGGATGGATGATGGGTGATGGATATGGATGGATTTATGGATGGATGGATGGATGGATGGGTGGTTGGTTGGATGGATGATGGGTGATGGATATGGATGGATGGATGGATGGATGGATGGATGGATGGATGGATGGATGGATGGATGGATGTGGATGGATTCATGGATGGATGGGTGGGTGGATGGATGGATGGATGGATGGATGGATGGATGGATGGTTGGTTGGATGGATGATGGGTGATGGATATGGATGGATGGATGGATGGATGGATGGATGGATGGATGGATGTGGATGGATTCATGGATGGATGGGTGGGTGGATGGATGGATGGATGGATGGATGGATGGATGGATGGATGGATGGATGGATTCATGGACAGATTCATGGATAGATTCATGGATGGATGGAGGCAGCCTGACCTGCCGGGGTGACTTTGCCAGGGAAGCTGCCCGTTGAGTGCTGGATCTCTCCCAGGGGCCTCCTTTGCTCTCCAGCAGCACGCGGGTGCTGGGCACAAAACTCCAGGAGCGGCCAAGGGCTGGCTTCAGTGGGCCACTGCTGCTGTCCCTTGTCACCTGGTTGGTCACCTGCAGCACAAACACGTAGGAAAGACATTTTTGTGCTGTTCTTGTGAGCCAGTGAAGGCTTCCTGAAGATAAGGAAAGCCTGGGATCTCTCTCAAGGAAGGTACCAAGGCTATCACCATAATAAGAAGAAAGAGAGAAAACAGAAAGATCTGGACTTTGGTTGGCTCACAGAGTGATGTGCCTCCTTTTCACCTATTGAGAGTTTTGTTTCTTTTTCATGACCAATGGGCAGTGTATGTGTTTGTTAAGCAAATGTAAATATCCTGTAAAGCTACAAAGGCAAGATGTTGCTTTAATAAATGAGCCTACACAGGGTTCTGATGGAGTCCTGGTGCTTGCCCTGTGTCACACTCCATAGTGACACAAACACACTCAGCAGTGCCTGGGACAGCAGTGCCACCCTGTGTAGTGACACACTGCAGGTCACCAGGGAATCTTGGCCAGGCTGCTTCTTCTAGGAAGGTTTTTCCTTCTCCTTCAGCTCCTCTGCCACCCCCTCTGAGCACAGCCCAGGTAACTGCCCAGAGCAGTGCTCAGGGAGTTCTCTCATATCTGCAGGCTGCATCACTCCTGGTGCTGAAGTCACCACAAGGTTTAACTTGGGGCCTCCAAATGTCCTTCCACACCCTGTCCTTGTCACTTGATCAGAATGAAAGGCAGATGGGGTATCTTGACACCTTCCAGTGCCAGTTCCAGCAGACCACCATCTTCTGGAGTGGCCTTCCCTGCTCAGACACGTTAATTGTGGTCCCACCCACCTGTCTGGTGCAATGGCCAAGAGCTGTGCAAGGCTAGAGCAGGGCCCTTGGCAGCTCCTCTGGGATGATGCAATGCCCTGCAGCTCCTGCAAGGTGACCAAGAGGTTACCCAGGAAGCTGGCCAGCCCCTTAAATGAATGGTGTTGTATCAAAAATAAACACAAGCAGCCTTTCAACCTGCCTGGACTTAACTCAGCCTGGCTCAACCCAGGGAATGGCTGAGGACAGCAAGAGCAGGAGGCAGCAGATCAGCCCAGGTCCTGTCCCGTGCTTGGAACAAGAGATCTGCAGGCAGCAGAGATGTCAGGGAGCAGGGCACTGGGGGGTTCAGGCCTCTGGCTCCAGAGCCTCCCCGTGGCTCCTTGCCACACACCAGCACAGGAAGGACAAAGCACAGCAACACTCACCACAACAGCAAGGCTGAACTCCCTGGCCAGGGTCTTCAGCTCCCTGGAGAGCTGCATCATGAGGGCCAGACCTGGAGCAGGACAAAGCATTTGGCAGTCAGGGATCAGCCCCCAAAGTGCACCCTGAAGCAGCTGACATCTGGATTTGCATCAGCACTGGATTCAGGGCCAGCACTTGTGTTCATGGACACCTTACTGGACCATTCCCCATCCTTTCCTATCTTAGAAGAAGGTCAAAAAATCCTACAAAAGCATCAGGAGCTCCAGACAAAGCAGGCCTGGTTGATTTAGCAGGCACAGGACCCATCTCTCCAGCTCACAGCTGCATTTCCTGCAGCCCACAGCTGTGAGGGGACCTCCTGTGACAGCACTGGCTGCCACCCAGCTGTGCAAGACCCTCTGGGAGGTGTTTGAGAGGGCTCCTTGGCATCCTCACTTCTGATTTATGGTCTTTTCTGGGAGTAGAGGAGCCTGGGCCTCAGAGGAGCTCTGCAAACTGTGCCATGATGTATTTCTGACACTGCAAGAGAAGTTTTAATTTATGGGCAAAGAGTCCAGTGCTTCCCCTGGGTGGGTTTCAGACCACTGCCATGAGCATGCATGGCCACAGCCAGCTGGAGTGTTTGCTGCCAACACTGCAAACACTCCCCTTTTATCCAGTCCCAAGGGAAAAACTGGGAACAGTCACATCCACATCTGTCCTGCCCCAGCCCCATTCCAGCACAGCTCACCCTCTGACTGCCTGCCACCCAGCAGAGGGGAAATCACAGCTGACACCGAGTCCAGCACCACCACCTTGAGAGGTCCCGTGGAGCTCAGCACCTGCAAGGAGGCACCGGGTGCAACGTGGAGTCACAAATCCAGCACTTCTGGAGGCTGTGAGCTGCACAGGGGCTCCAACAGCCCCAGGACGAGGCAGTCTGGAGTCTCCTGTCAGGCACACAAGCCCTGCTGCCCTCCCTGCAGCTCTGGGGAGGGCAGAGGGGCCCCAGGGCTCACTCCTACCTGCTGGGAGAGGCGATCCCTCAGCTCCTGCAAGGCTCTCAGCACCTCGTAGATGTTGAACACACGTTGTACCTGCACCCTCTGCAGAGCCTCCAGCTGCAGCACAAAAACAGCCTCAGTTTCCCCAGGATTTGTCCTATTCCTCCTGCCCCAGGACTTGTCCTATTCCTCCTGCCCCAGGATTCATCCTATTCCTCCTGCCCCAGGATTTGTCCTATTCCTCCTGCCCCAGGACTTGTCCTATTCCTCCTGCCCCAGCTGCCACCAGCTCTCTGCACTCACACCATGCCACAGACCCTTATTATTCCACATTTGCCTCCACCCCATTAACACTACTGCCCCCGTTTCACTGAGGGAAAAGCAACATGGATTGAGCTCAGGGAGAAAAGTCCTGCAAGTTCCTGGAAGTCCCTCCCTTCTCCCAAGAAAAATAACAAAGAGCAGAATCTGTCCTGAGCATGGCACCCACCAGGCCATGGAAGGAAAGGTTTGGACTCAAAAAAGCCCATGAGGACAAAGGCAGAGCTGTAAAGACAAACCATCTCTGGGGTTTCTGGCAGGCAAATGAGCAAAATGAGTTTCACAGCAAGCTCCAGGGGAACTTGCCTGCTCTTCCTCATCCTCTGTCCGGGCTTGGAGCATCTGGTACAGACGTGAGGCAGTGAAACCTCCCGTGGAGTCGAGAAACAGGACGTGCTGCTTGAGCCCCAGGGACACACTGGCTGCAATGCCCAGGCACACCTGGGGGCACAGGGACAGGGGGTCAGCCAGCCCTCACATGTCCCTCTGTGGGACATCTTCACCCCATGTCCTCTCCCCTGTCCTCCACCCCACTCACCTGTGTTTTCCCAGTGCCTGGTGCTCCCATGAGCTCCATCACCTCCCCCGTGTACAGCCCTGAGTCCAGCAGCTGGTCCAGGCTGTGGGATGGACACAAGGTGGGATTATCAACACCCCTTCAGCCAGAAAGGCAGGGGCACCAGGAGGCAGCAGTCCCCAGATATTTGTCCTCAAAGTCCCCTTCCCAAATGCACACAAGTGCATGGGGATGGTTTGGAGAATGAAATTCACAACTTGTGCTGGCAACCACAGCCTTGTGCAGCAAACCCAGCCCCAGGCAGAGCTGGTGGGTGGCTGAGGTCCCCACCTTGGGCTGCCAGTGGGCAGGATGGCAGTGGAGCTCTTGAGCTCCTCGTAGAGGTCAGCTCCGTTGGCAGGGAAGGCAGAGAACTGGGCCAGGAGCACACGTCTGACTGCAACCAGCGCCTGGGGGCAGAGGCACGTCTGGAAATGGGACTGAGCAACAGCCCAACTGCTGCAGAAGGGCCCCAGACCTTCCCAGGACCAAACCCATCCTTGTCCATGAGCCAAACAGCTCTGAGCTCCCTGGCTAATGTACCAGGAGTTAGGAGTAGAACCTTCTACCTTGTAAGACAGGGAACACTTTTGGGCAACATCCTCCAGGTCTGACGACACAAAGTCCACCACTGCAAATAACACAAGGGACAGGAGGTTGGAAGCCAAACATGGTCAGACCACAAACATCAGAAGACAACCAGCTTAGACAAAACCTGCACCAGCAAGCAAAGTGGCTGTGCCCTCTGGGGAGTTGTGGGATTGTGCAGGGACAAGGCAGCTGATCCCGAAAAGCTGATCCTCTGTCAGCACTGTGAGTGGAGGAGTTTGTCCTCTGAGATTCCCCATCACTCATCACAGAACAAATTGGTTCTTGCAAAACAGAGTAGAGAGAAAAGCTGGTAAAAATTTTCCCTGTTTTGCTCAAGAGCTGCCCAGCACCTTTTCCTTCCCTTCTAAGGGCAGGAGGTGCCCAGGGTGCAGCATTCCAAGAAGTTGGGCATTTTTCAGAGGGAAGACTGTACAAACCCTCCTGAAATACCATAAAAAAGCCAGAATTTATCAATCCTCAATGAGTCTCTGCAAGGATCTCCTACCACATCCTTACACTGTCCTGCTCCTTTGGAGAAGCCCTTACTCACAGTACCCATCCAGGAGCACCCAGAAGAAATCCAGCAAGGAGGACACAGAAGGATATTCCACCACCACCACCCTCCCAGGATGTGGGATGACACAGGTCCACCAAATGCTCGGGGGATGATGTTCCCGAGCCGAGCCCCCGATGCCACCCCTGTTACCCGTCTTGATGCCACTGTCCCTGAGAAGCTGGATCATGTCTTCAGTGAGGCCAGGGCAGAGCCCAGCCCGCAGGACCACCATCTCCACAGGGAGGGAGGGAGGGAGGAGAGCAGAGACCTGCAGAGGAGATGGCAGAGTGGGATTCACAGAATCATTAGGGCTGGAAAAGACATCCAAGATCATCAACTCCAACCCTCAACCCTGCACTGCCAGGCCCAACACTGAGCCACGGATGGCGCCTGCCCCCGAAGCCGGGGAGAAGCCACCCAAGCTGTGTTTGGGATGGGTGGGTAATTAATTCTTTGGGGACAAACAGCCCAAAATCCTGCACGGGGGCATCGCTGCGCTGGGGATGGGGGAGCACAGCGGGCGGGGGCACTCCCTCCCGGGGCAAGGGGACCCTGCATCCCGAGCCACCTCCACCAGAGCCGCACGACGGTCACCCACCGCCCGGGCTCCCCGCAGCCCTGCCTGCTCCCTTCCTGCTTCCTGCCGCCGGCGGAAGGGCCCCGCCCGCTCCTCTTCCCCGGCCCGGCTGTCCCATCCCGCTGAAGTTTGCTTTCCCCGGCCCGGCTGTCCTATCCTACTCCGGTTCTCCATCCCCGGCCCGGCTGTCCCATCCCGCTGGGGTTTCCTTTCCCCGGCCCGGCTGTCCCATCCCGCTCCGGTTCCCCATCCCCGGCCCGGTTCCCCATCCCCGTCCCGGCTGTCCCATCCCGCTCCGGTTCCCCATCCCCGGCCCGGCTGTCCCATCCCACTCCGGTTCCCCATCCCCGTCCCGGCTGCCCCATCCCGCTCCGGTTCCCCATCCCCGTCCCGGCTGCCCCATCCGGCTCCGGTTCCCGTCCCCAGCCGCTCGCCGGGATCAGCAGAGCGCTAAAGTCCCTTCCCACCCAAACCATACTGGATCTGTGACATTCCCAGGATTGGCTTTGTCCAGCCTCATCAGCCAGTGCTGCTCACTGGGAAATTAAGAAGCACGAAGGGCTGGGGGTCTTTGCTGCCCTGCAGGTGTTGGGAGCTGTGTGTCCCTCCCTGGCTGCCTTGGAGGCTTGAATTTCTCTTGGGAAAGCTGTTTTTGGGGGTATTTGTTGTTATGTTTTTCTTTCCAGCCTGAAGAGGGCCCTCGGCACTCGCTGCTGAGCCTGCCCTGCACGCTCAGCTCTCAGCAGCGGCACCCACCGCCCTTTGATTTTGTGACTCAGTTTACCTGCAGTGCTGGCGCTTGTGACAATGGAGCCGTACTCTGGCTGACGTGAGAAAGGCAGTGCTGTAGCCCACGAGCACTGATATTTCAGCCAGCTGAGCCTTGCCCAGTACCTAAAGCCATGTTGGAAGGAGTTTCTGGTGTGTTAATCCAAATGAATGCTGGAAAAGCCGCTGCACTGAGTCTGTCCAAGGCAGGGATGGCATCTTGCACTTTCCACAGCTGTTGTCCTTGTACCTTGGACATATTCTCCAACAGGTACAGATGTGGAAGCTGCTCTGGATGGAGATGTCTGCAGCTGTGGTGTTGATGATTTGCTTACAAATGGAAATGGAATCACCTCCTGCCTGGATACCAGGGACCAGGCAGTGCTGCTGGTGGTGAGTGAATAAAACAGGAGCCCACAGAACAGGGAAGTTCTGTGCTAATTCTTGCTGTGTAAGAGCCACAAGCCACAACACAGATCACACAATTAAAGACAATGATATTTTTGCTCCTGGCAGTGTTTTGGTCAGCTCATGCTCTCCTCAGTCATTTCCCCATCCTGCCAGTCCCTGCTTTGCTTTATAGCTGGGATGCTGGTAGGTACACTGGGGAAGGCAGGGCCTGTGTTTGGGGGAAGATAAATCAAAAAGCAGAATTCCTGATTGAGACTGCTGGGTTGAAAGGCTTGGTTCTCTTGGAGCTCAGTGCTGCTCTGTCTCCTGGTGCCACTCAAATCGAGCCACTCATCACAGCAGTTCCAGTATGTTCCAGTCAGCCTCTGTCAGTGTGTTGCTGACTGACCACGTGTGGGGTGGGTGGCAGCACCAGACTGGGGGGGGATTTCAGTGGGATGGGCTCCCAAATGCCCTGCAAGGAGGAGGAGGCAGCACTGGGTGTCAGTCAGCTTTCCATCCCAGGGAGTTCTGGAAGGTGCTGGGCACTGCTGCAGCTGCTGGCCTGGGGCCACTCGTCCCCGAGGCTCAGCTGTCTCATGCTTCCCTAAATAGAAAGGGAAAAGGGTCTGAGCACTGTGACAGGGGTCAGCCATCCCAGCCGTGGGCTTTTTTGGCATGAACCTCCCCCTTCCTGCTCCCCACACCCTTTGCAGCTCTGCAGGCAGAGGGGAGCTGGGATTTGCCCTGGCAGGAGGGAGAGGATTCCCTCCTGCTGCAGAGGGGTGCTGCCTGCCTGCAGCCAGGTGCCCCCCAAGCTGGCCCTGGCTCCCAGCCCTCCCCAGGCGTATAAAGCACGAGGGGACAAGGAGGGGACAGGCTGTGGTGACAGGTGACACTGACAGGCAGCAGGAGCTGCCAGGTCCTGCCCAAACTTGGAGTGGGAAGTGAGTTCTTTCCTGAGCCACACGGACTCTGTAGTGCTGGCAGATTTAATTCCTTTTTTGTTGTTTTCTTTTCTCTTTTTTTTTTTAATTGACTCCTAAGGATCTACATTTGTGGGAAAAGCTTCTGAGAAGTCACAGCCTTGAAGAGCAATTTAGGTCTTCATTTTGAAAACTCTTCGTCCTGGTAAGCTGCTTTTATTAATGTGTGTTAATTACATGTCAGTCTCATGGTGGAACTCAGCTTGGGGGAGTAGGCAGGCGACCCAGGCAGTTGAAAATGGGACACAAATTGATGTTTTTCCTTCAAGCTCTCCAGATGGAGGATCCCATTCAGCTGAAAGAGGAGGGCAATAAGTATTTTCAGGCCAGTGACTACGAGAAAGCCCTTCAAAGCTACACTCAAGCCATAAAGCTCAACAAGGACAAGGCGCTGCAGGTGGTGCTGTACAGGAACAGGGCAGCCTGTTTCCTCAAAAAGGTGAGAACAGCTCCCCTCACCTGGGCAGTGCTCAAGGGGACAAGAGCAGGAGGGCAGCCAAGGGCACCCACTGGCTGTGGACTGGGTGGTTTGTCCATTTTTTGAATAGGGTTTTTCCAGCTGGTCTGAAATGAAATGTTCTGGGCTCGTGCTGGAGCTTCACTGGGGTGTCCCTCTGGGAAATGGGAACAGAGAGATCCCAAAGTCCATCAGCACTGGGGACATGCCCTGCTATTCCATGGCTAACAAATCTCTCCTTCCTGGTTTAACAGGAGGAATATGCCAAGGCAGCCTCGGATGCATCTAGAGGTAAGGAGGGGGCTGTTATGAGGAGAGCTGGATACACTTGCTCAGCCTGCTCTCACATCTGCTTTAGGGACACTGTGGCCTTACTCCTTGATGTCCACTTACACCCAAGTGCTGAGGCCACAAGGGAATTCCTGGAAGTTCAAGTGATGTTCCAATTCGGTGTGCTGGTCCAAACAGTGCTAATCAGGCACTGTTTGATGCTAACAACAAAGCAAATCACAGTTTGCACAGGCCACTTGCAAGCAGCAAGCTCTGATGCCTGGTGTTTTGGATCCCTTTCCCAGCTATTGACATCAATGCTTCGGACATCAAAGCCTTGTACCGTCGCAGCCAAGCCCTGGAGAAACTGGGCAAGTTAGACCAAGCATTCAAAGATGCTCAGAAATGTGCCACCCTCGAACCCCGCAACAAAAACTTCCAGGAGACCCTCAGGAGACTGGGGGCCAACATCCAGGAGAAGGTAAATGCCAGGGGAACAGTGCTGGATTCACAGACCAGGGGTGGGAAATCCTTGCTCTGGGTTGCATCAATGGATTGCTGGTCATACTGGAAATTTGTGGCAATATAGGGGGATAAATAGGCTCCATTGACTGGAAGTTCATACTTGATGTGTGTAAATCTGAGGGTTGGGTTGAATAGTTAAATTAAAAAGTGTGGCAGCTCCCTCCAGAGGCTGGCCTGGTCCTGAGTCTCTTGGAAAGGTCTTGGCAAGGGTCTGCACAAGCTTTGGGCTGGGTCTGGCAGTTGCCACGTTGCCACAGTTACCTTTACAGGGGTGCTGTGAAGAAATCCTTGCACCACTACCTCCTATGAAGTCTCAGAAATCAAGGTTTAGGATTGGCTCTGCCTGTGCCCATGAGATTGGTAATGGATGCTGATTGCTGAGAAATTCTATCTCCTGTTATTCAGCTTAAATTGTGCATTAAATTGAGCATTAAATCTTTGCCTGTGGTGTGAGGGGAGGGAATATTCTTGAAGTGAAAAAGGAAACCTGTTCCTCAATTTTCTCCTTCTGATGCCCTGTGCTCTCCCTCTTGGCACAGCTGCGCATTCAGTTCTCCACAGACTCGAGGGTGCAGAAGATGTTTGAGATCCTGCTGGATGAGAACAGCGACAAAGAAAAGCGAGAAAAGGTGAGAACTGCCCTGGACTTGGCAAAATGGCTGTTTGGTGTCAGAGGCTGCTCCAGGGAGCAGAGCCCTGCATTCCCTTCCCCACCTCCCCTGGATGGAGGATGAGGGAAGGAGCTGGAAGGTGAACTGCACTCAGAGAGAGGGAAAATCACCCCTGTGCCAAGGGAAGGTGGCCCAACCTCCCAAAATACCGAAGGTGGGGGGGGTCAGCTGAGGTCCTGCCACCCTCCAGATGTTCCTTCCAAGCAGTGACCCACTCTTCTTGGGCAGAGCAGAGCTGATCCCTGAATGCACCTGGATCAACTCTCTGGTGAGGTCTGAGCTGATCTTCTGCATCTGTCAGGAGATGGTTCCCACCAGGATCTCCCAGAGCTGCCCAGAGATGGTTCTGGAGGCTGGGCTGTGCCACTGACCCCTGGTTCTTCTGCCTCCCACCTAGGCTGCAAACAACCTCATAGTCCTGGGGCGGGAGGAAGCAGGTGCTGAGAGGATTTTCCAGAATAATGGGGTCAACTTGCTGCTGCAGCTGATAGAAACCAAAAATCCTGAGCTGATCCTGGCAGCCGTGAGGACACTTTCAGGAATGTGCACAGGACATAAGGCTCGGGTAAGGACAGGGTGCTTGGACCTTCACTGCTATTGCCTTTTGCATCTGGGGAGGGGGAAGTTGAAATAGTTTGTGTTGTTTGTGAGCAGTGGGAGAAGATTAAAATTCTGACTTGTACTGAGTCAGGATTCACTAAGGAAAATAATTTCTTTGTCCCAGCTGAGCCTAGAGGATACAGGGAGGGAAGGCCTTTGCTAACACTGTCCTGCTCTCTCCTTCCTGGGGCCAGGCCACTGCCATTCTCCATTACCTGGGCATCGACAGCATTTGCATGTGGATGTCAGTGGACAATGAAGAAATCTCCCTGGCTGTCTGCAACCTCCTGCAGACCATCACTGACTGCCTACTGGGCCAGGGGAAGGAGGAGCACCACGGCAAGGAGGAGGCTCTAGTGCTAGGTAACAGCACATCACCTGCTCTTCAATCCCTCTGGGCCCAGCAGGGAGGGCTCTGCTCCTGGGATTCCACCTCATTCCTTGTTCCTTGCTGAAGTGGGGACTTTACCCTTCAGCTGTACAGGAGGGCAACCTACACACAGCTCTCATCCTCATGGGCAGCTTAAATACTTCTGTTCCAGCCACACAATGGCTTTGAATGGTTTTGACTGAGCTCACCTGCTTGCAGAGGTAACTTCTTGTAACTGGCTGCTACTGCTTTGCTTCTGCGTAGACACCAAGAAGGATTTGAGGATGATCACGATGCGTTTGCTGGATATGCTGGTCAGTAAGAAAGTGTCTGGGCAAGGGCGAGATCGAGCCCTCAACCTCCTCAACAAGAACATACCAAGGAAGGACCTGAAAGACCATGACAACAGCAGGAGCATCTTTGTCATCGACAACGGTGAGTCCTTGCCCTCCATCCTGTGCTGATTTGGGACATGTGGAGCTGTGTGTTCTTGCCTGAATACCTGTAGAGCTGGTATAAAATACCAGTTCCTTCCTATAAAATAAATCCCATCTGGCTTTTTTTGGTGCATGCAAGCCTGGAGCAAAGTTAGACTTATTAGCAAGGAACAGTACTAAGAGAAAATCAACTGTGTACAAGAACAAGAATTTTTGAGTTTCTGAAGGATTGCCTAATATCTCTGGTTAGTTTCTCCAATGTATTTGCTAATGTTAGGACGATTTGGCTTGGATAAATTGTCTGCTTTAGACAGGATAAGCACCTGCTGAACTTGATGGACCCATAAATTGATCAATTGTAAAGCTGGATGAGGGTGAGGAAAATGTCTGCTGTGTGTTTTTATAGTAATTCCAATGCATGTGTGTGTTACCATTTTGATGGAAGTTATTTAATAATAATTCAGCAAAAAGAGAGTTAAGTCATCCAGAATCACTTGAAAGTGGCTGGGTTTTCCTCAGTCAGAGCCTCCAGCCTTGGAGGTCAGTAGGTTTAATGTCTTCTGACAAAAATAACAGGTCCAGCCAGGGGCCTAATGCTGTTCTGCTTATCTCACTCTGAGAACTGGAAAAAAGCCTGATGCTGCAAACCTGTAATCTCACCAGCAGAAGCTCCTCCCCAGTAAATATCTGAGTGTCTTTTTTGCTTAAGACTTATGTGATTAGGCTGCAAAATAATTGAAAACCATCCAAACTGGCTATTCCACAGCAAGAAAGTAACAAATGGTATCTTGAATTTTGCACAGACCCTCTCCCCTCTGACAACCATATCACTCTATCATTTCCAGGCTTAAAAAAGATACTGAAAGTGGTGGGCCAGATTCCTGAGATGCCTGACTGCCTGCCACTGACAGAGAACACCCAGCTGACTGCCTCTGTCCTCCTGAATAAGCTCTACGATGACCTGCGCTGCGACCCGGAGCGGGACAACTACCGGCTGATCTGCGAGGAGTACATCAAGTGAGTTGGGGTGAGCTGGCCCAGAGGGCAGGAGCAGGGCTTCTTGAGGGTGAGACCAGGCAGTTGAAGTCTGCTGGGGTTCTGGAAGATTATGACTTGCTTGAGATCCTGCTGGATCACAGCTTCACAGGAATTTGCAGTCCCGAATATCCAATGTGGTTCAGCAGCATGGCTGAGGGAAAACATCCCCTCCCCACTACTGTTCTATACCCTGCTCCCTCTATCCCATGCAGGAGCAAAATTGACCCACAAGACATGGATAAGACACTCCATGCTGTCCAGATTGTGTCTGGTGTTCTGCAAGGTCCCTTTGACTTGGGCAACAAGCTGCTTGGCATGAAGGGGGTGATGGAGATGATGGTTGCCCTGTGTGGGTCTGAGAGGGAGATTGACCAGCTGGTGGCTGTGGAAGCTCTTATCCATGCTTCCACCAAGCTGAGCCGAGCCACCTTCATCATCACCAACGGGGTGACACTCCTGAAGGAGATCTACAAGAAGACCAAGAATGAGAAGATCAAAATTCGAGCTCTGGTGGTAAGGATGCAGCCCTGCCTCTACTGCCTGCCACACTCGGCAGCTTAATCCCAGACTTGGGAGAGGAGGGAGGTTCTGGGGATGAGAGATGGGCTTAGGCTGTTTTGGGGCAGCAACACAAGAGGATTAATGAGCTTTTCTCACTGGTACATCCTTTTTGTCCTCCTCAGGGTCTCTGCAAGCTGGGCTCAGCAGGAGGCACGGACTATGGCCTGCGGCAGTTTGCTGAGGGCTCCACTGAGAAATTAGCCAAGCAGTGCCGAAAGTGAGTGACTTCACTTCTTCCTTCAGTTATTCCAATCTTTGCAAAGCACAATATGTTCCTCTCCCACGAGATCCTGCCCACACATTGCCTCCATTCCCTGTGCTACCTGCCAGCTGACAGTGCCCCCAGTGCCATTGCACCAGGACATGGAGCTCCTCTGTGCCTGAAGCAGCCATGTGCTCCTCCTGCCTCAATACCCAGAGGAGCCTTCTGCCTCCCTCACTGCATCAGGTCTGCTGTCTCCCTCTTTGCCAGAGTGGCACAGCCTGATTAACGCTTACTTTGAATATGCACAAGTCCCCTCTGAAGGTGAATTTGCCAGGTGGAGTAACCAAGGAGGTGGGATCTAGTCAGGAAGTGACTGAATGGGTGGTCATTCCTGCAGGCATCTCGTGTTTCATGGAATGGAAAAGGCAAAGCAGTGCTGAGGAGCTGTCCTGGTCTGTCATTCCCTGCAGCATTTACATCCCACAAGTTGGGCCATGGGGCGGAAGGTCATGTCTCAGGGGGAAGCATCCCCAGTCTGAGGAGCTGCAGCAGAACCTGAGGACATATTTGGGCTTGAATCAGCCTCAATATCTGTTTTTACTCCCTCTTTTTCCAGATGAGTTAGTTCTGGCTCCCAAGATAGAGATGTGAGTGTTTTTCTCTCTTCCAGGTGGTTGTGCAACACCAGCATCGATGCCCGCACCAGGAAATGGGCTGTGGAAGGGCTCTCCTACCTCACCCTCGATGCAGATGTGAAAGATGACTTCGTTGAAGATGAGCCAGCCCTGAAAGCTATGTTTGAATTAGCCAAGGTCCATCTCCTTTCCTTTTTCCCTCATTCTTCTGGTAGCATCAAGTTCTCCCAGCTCGCCAGCCCTGCACTGTGCCCCAGTCAGAAGGAGCTGTGACCCCGACCCCTCACCTCTGGTTCAGCAGAACTTCAGTTTTGCCTGTGCCCCAGAGACATCTCAGGGCTGCCACCATCCTCCTCTTTTCCCTGGGCTGAGGGAGGTTGTTCCTACCTTCACTGTCAGCAACTGCCTGAAAACCAAAGGCACCAAGGTGTTGACAGCACCTGATGATGTCCAACACCTTGTTTGACCATGAAAACTTTCTTGGGCTATGAAGCTGGGTATAAAGCTAAGAACATTTCCACTAGTGAAAACACCATCCTGGCAGTCCAAAGAGACCTGTTTCCCTGCTGTGCCCTTCTCACCCTCACACAAGCTTTATTTTCCTCTGCAGGCAAGTGACAAAACAATCTTGTATTCTGTGGCTTCTGCACTGGTGAACTGTACCAACAGCTACGATACCAAGGAGCTGGTCCCAGAGCTGGTGCAGCTGGCTAAATTCTCCAAGCAGCACGTGCCTGAGGAGCATCCAAAGGTGGGTTGTGTCCAGCTGGAGATGCTGTTCAGAAAGACTTTATTTGGTATATCCATTGTCACAGACTTCAGGTCTCCTGCCTCCAGGCTGAAGTTGTTTGCTCTCCAACCAGGCTGTTGGGTGGCTGGATGGCAGAATGGCAGCTGCTAAGGGCTAATCCTTTCCCAATGTTTCCTCCTCAGGACAAGAAGGATTTTGTGGTGAAGCGGGTGAAGCGGTTGCTGAAGGCTGGGGTTGTCTCTGCCTTGGCCTGCATGGTGAAGGCTGACAGTGCCATTTTGACTGACCAGAGCAAGGAGCTCATTGCCAGGTGCCTTCACTGCAGTCCTGGGAGCTGGGAGTGCTGGGCAGCCCCTGTGCCTTGGGGATGGACACCTGGGGTGGGCCATTCTGCCTTTGGGGGAGCGTGGGAAGCAAGGATTTAAAGCCAAAGTTTTTGTTCAGAAGTGTCATAAAAATTCATGTTCTGACCTTCAAGCTGCTTTGCTGGAATGCATTTTTGAGTCCTCTGTATTGGTCTGGCTGGAATAGAGTTCATTTCACAGACCTGGAAACTTCTTCCTCTGCCATTTGTTGCTTCCTCATAGAGTGCTGTGGGCACAGGTTTAAGCACCTGGAATTTACCTGGTGTCTCTGGCACTCCTGCAAAACCTCAGCCCCGTTCCATGAGGTCTTTTGGCTGCTGCTGTCCCCCATGGCTGTCTCACTGAGTGTTCTGTGCCCCTGCAGGGTGTTCCTTGCCTTGTGTGAAGACCCCAAGGACCGCGGGACCATTGTTGCTCAAGGTGGTGGGAAGGTGATTACTTTCACGTTCACAGTTCCTGATGTGCTGTTAATGTGTGCTGGGAGCCTGGGGTGTGTCTCCGGTGAGGGACAGTGACAGAAGAGCACAAGTTGTCCCCCCCAGGGCCATACTGACACTGCAGTCCCATCTCTGCAAGGCTCCAAAGAAGTTGATGTTCTTGGAGTGATGGTGTGAGCCTGTGGTGCCTATTTGAGAGCAAAAGCAAGACATCACAGAGGGCTACAGGATATTTTTAACTTGGTTTTCTCTGTTAAGGCAGTCTTGTGAATCTTCTTAGAACACTGAATGGTTTTTCCTGTGTGTCTCCAGGCCCTGATACCTCTGGCTGTGGAAGGCACAGATGTTGGCAAGATAAAGGCTTCTCATGCTCTGGCAAAAATTGCTGCTATCTCCAATCCAGACATTGCATTCCCGGGAGAGAGGGTAAGCTTAAAAACAATAAAATCAAAAGCATTGATAGTTCCTTTAGCAAAATGAAAATTGCTAATGCAGGCCTTCTCTTCCAGGTGTACGAGGTGGTGAGGCCCCTCGTCAGCCTGCTGAACACAGAGAGAGATGGCCTCCAGAACTACGAGGCTCTGTTAGGTCTCACAAACTTTTCAGGAAGAAGTGATAAACTTAGGTGAGCTTTACTGCTTTTTAACCTTCCTTCTTCCTCAGGAGTGAGTGTGAGCTACTTGTAGGACTATGAAGACTGGTCAGTTTGAGCTACCTTTGGCAGAGTTACAAAGGTCTCACAGCTAAAAGATTGATGAGATAGGAAAAGGAGAGTGGTTTATTTTCCTTTAGAAACAGCAAAGACATGAACTTCATCTGCATTAGAAGGGAATGAACCACATCATGAGCTCCAGACACTGATTTGTTTCAAGGCCTTCCCTGCAGTTAATATTTGATAAGTTGGTTACTTCTTGACCTGTAATGTGGGGTTTTTACTGCTCTTTGCCACAGGTTGAAGATAATCAAAGAGAAGGCCCTGCCAGATATCGAAAACTACATGTTTGAGAATCATGACCAACTTCGACAGGCAGCCACTGAGTGCATGTGCAACTTGGTGGTCAACAAGGAGGTAAAATTCCCCCCTGGGCATGTCCAAGCTGACTGCATGCCCCTGGCCCTGTGAGGAGCTGTCCCTAACTGTGCTACCTCTGGGTATCTCTGGGGTATTTAGGTTCAGGAGCGGTTTGTGGCTGATGGCAATGACCGGCTGAAGTTGGTGGTGTTGCTGTGTGGTGAGGATGATGAGAAGGTTCAGGTTGCAGCAGCAGGAGCCCTGGCCATGCTGACAGCAGCACAAAAGAAACTCTGCTCGAAGATGACTCAAGTGGTGAGGCCATAACTCTGGCTGTGGGCAGTGTGTGGGATGTACCCTGCAGATGTGAAGAAGTCTCTCCAAAGGAATATGCAGTTTACTAGTTCAATACTGAGGAACCTAGAGAAGCTGGGACCTGGGTGTGCATGCTTTGATAAATAACCTGAAACCCAAACCTTGTTCCACATGGAAATGAGAAAAGCTTGACTGATAACCTACTGAGCTTTAGAGATCCCAAAGGATGTCCCTTCCCTGCACAGATCTGTAGGCCCTGAGAACCCAGAGCCTGCATGGCTGAGGGTCTGAAGAACTGTGGCTGAGAACTCCTGAACCCTATCTTGTTACAGACTTGATTGGACTCTGGAGATCATTAAGATAAAATTATTAATCAAGCCAACAGAGAAGCTCAAGAAGGTTGGGGTGGGGGAGTGTCCTGCTCATCTCAGCTGTGTCAAGACTCTGGTCAGATTCTTTTCACAGAGATTATGCAGCAGATTGAATATGAAACATATTCCATGTTGTCCCAGTGTCACAGACACATTTTATGAAAAATCCTTTCCTTAGGATTTTTTCTCCTTAGAAGCTGAGAGGCCTCAGGAACAAAATGTAACCAATGGTTATCTGCTGCTGTGAAATGCAACAGGTGCATCTGGGATTGGTCTCATGTGGTTGTTTCTAATTAATGGCCAATCACAGCCCAGCTGGCTCAGACTCTCTGTCCGGGACACAAGCTTTTGTTATTCATTCCTTCTTTTTCTATTCTTAGCTAGCCTTCTGATGAAATCCTTTATTCTATTCTTTTAGTATAGTTTTAATATAATACATATCATAAAATAATAAATCAAGCCTTCTGAAACATGGAGTCAGATCCTTGTCTCTTCCCTCATCCTAAGACCCCTGCCAACACCATCACAGTCCCAGTGCTGTGGAAGATTCTGACTTAGGTGCAAGAAAAATTGGATTAAAATGTTTGGAGTCAGGTTTCCTTAGTTAAAAAATGAAATAATCATAAATGACATGAGTACTGCCCTTTCTTCTGCTGAAGGAAGCCAAAGTCATGTTCCTGGTTGAGATATTCTTCAGATCAGTACAAATGATCTCTCTTTCCCTTGCAGACCACCCAGTGGCTTGAAATCCTGCAGAGGCTCTGCTTGCATGACAACATGGAGGTCCAGCACCGAGGACTGGTCATTGCCTTCAACTTAATCTGCTCTGACAAAGAGCTGGCCAAGAAGCTGGTGGAGTCAGAGCTCCTGGAGATCCTGACCTACGTGGGGAAGCAGGAGGATCACCCCAAGAAGCAGCACATCATAAATGTGGCACGTGATTGCCTCACCAAGTGCATGGATTACGAGCTGATCAAACCTCTCTCTCGGGCGTGAGGGAATGAAAAGCACCAAAACAAGGCTGAGTGTTGGGGGGGAAAATGGAGAAATATGGAAAAGTGAGAGCCATGAGGAGAATCTAGTGCCATTGTCAAGGCACTGAATAGTTTGGGGACAGCTTTGGAGGATCATAAAGTGTATGAGGAAAAGGAGGGAATTTGCCTGGGAAATGTGGGATGTGTCCATCTGAGTAATTCCCAGATGGTGTAAATCCTTTCTCTGCCCCCATTCAGCTGATAATGATGAAAGCTTCAGCTGTAAAAGGGTTGGTTGTGTTGGAGACATGTCAGGAGGCTGTTGGAAGGAAACTCAACAAAGCTGAAATTGGTTCTGTCACCACTTGCAGCTCCTGGTACTTCTGGAATTCCCAGCAATGGTAGAATGAGGAGGGAGGGTTAAGTGCCTTCTATTCTGTAGTCAGAAAAAAGGATTTTAGCTGTGTGCTTTTTTGTTCATTTATTGGAAAATGTGTGCCAAAGTGTGAGGATGGTGGGTGAACTCTTAATAAATTCACTGCTTTGTTCTATGTGGAATTCCTGTTCTGATTTTATTAAGCTAAAGGAGAATTTAAGGCAAGTCTTGCATCACACCTGGAAAAATTGAGTAATTGGTAACATAGGTTGAATTTTCACTCCTTGCAAACCATTCAGTGCTCCCAAATGTAGCAGTCACCACAAAGGTGTCACACCAAGGCACAGGGAATGTTGAAAATATCCCATTTATGAAAAAAGCAGAATGAGAAGCAACCCACCAGTCATCATCACATTAAACTTTATTACATAAATATTTTCATTCAAGCACAGATTTTTAATGCACGCTGTGGACAACACAAAAATCACACTGTTGTTTTAGTTCCTGGGGGAAAGTCCCTAAGCATGTAATAAATATAATCTTACTCAATAATTATTTAAATATTGATTCAAGCACATTAAAATATTTCTGATCATACTAAATATTAGTGATGTTCACAATAGGCATAGCATGATTAAATGCTGAGGTTTTGGGTTTTGAAAGGAACCATGAGGATAGTATTTTCTTGCATGTTAAGGGGAAAAAAAAATGAAAGTGTCTCTAGTGTCCTGAATTTGGAAGATTAAAAATTTTAAGCTAACAGGTTTGATAAGCTAAAAGCAGATTTATTTGGGGGGTGATTCCAGCTGTATTCAATGAATGTAATCAGGTTCAGTTAAATCGCTGGTGCTTTATAACCACATGTGGGGGATATCAGGCTCTTCTTCCAAACCAAGAGAGCCACATTCTGCAGTGATAAATATGGTTTGTTTTCTGCCAGCCTTCAGTTTTGGATACCCATTTTTAGGGCTTTTGAACATGGCTTTCGAAAGTACTTTCCATTACCTCTACACAGGTTTACCTAAGCAGCATCTCTGACACCAAGACAAAATGCCATTGGTATTGAAGGGCAAAGTTTCCCTTCTCCCGCTAAAGCTTGTCTTTGGAGCAACTAGGTTTTACTAACTGAATGTTGCTGAAGTTGAGGGGGGAAATAACTTCTGCAAAAGCCATTTATTGGCATTTCTTTTAGCTAAACACGGACGGAAAACCCGTTTTACACTAATAGGGACCACCCGCTCCCTCAGGCCCCCTCAGGCTCCCTCAGGGCGGGAAACGCTCGCACCGCCCCCAGCTCCTCTAGCGCGCAATCCTATTGGCTCCCACCGGCAGAGCCGCGCGTTGTGATTGGTTGTTGCCAGCGGATGGGTGGGGCGAAGAGGGCGGCTCTGCCCCGGCGCGGCCGGGCCTGCGGGAGCGGAGCGGCGTGAGGGGGACGGGACAGGGGATATTGAATATGGGGCACCGGGGGATGCGGGACCGCGGTGGGGCAGCTGAGGGCTCGGAGTGTGCGGGAATGGGGACACGGAGGGTGAGGGGACGCGGAAGTGGCTCTGGGGGCTGGTTGAGGAGCCCGAAGCCGGCCGAGCTGTAGGGCATGTGGGGTTTACTGAGATCTGGGTGCATGGGGGATGTAGGATGGGCATGGGCAGAGGAACTGGGGACTGAAGAGCTGCAGGGACCTGGTGGGGAGGGTACAGGGAAGGAGATGGGAAGAGAGTATAAACGTGTGGCATGAGGGAAGGGAGGGATCCAACCAGGCCTCTGGAGCCTCGGAGCGACACTGACTGCAGCAGCATTTATAGGTATGGCACTTTTTTCCTCTTGAATTTGCCTAGTACTGCTCTGCTGACTTTGGCATGCCAGTCTGTGACCTGTCTTTAGCTTCTGCTCAGCTGTAGAAGGAATGTCACCTCTGCCCCCTGCTCCATGGGCTTCATCCTCCTAGAGGGGCTTGGGAGCCAGCTCCTTGTTGGAGGCACATAGATTTGCCCAGAAGCAATGATGAGCGAAGTATAGTCTGAACTGGTATTGCCGAGACTCCGTGTCTCTGCTCTGACCAGGGCATGATCACCTAATCTTCTCTCTGAGCTACTTTAGGCTAAGCTCGTCTGCAGGGAACAGCTTTGCTGTCCTTGAAACTTTGGTGCACCCTAAAAAAAATACTAAGAGTTTTTAGCAGTTTAACGGCAGAAAAAGCCTTGATTTGAAAAGTAACCCAAATACTCATTGCTGCAGCATTGTGTGAGCTTGCAGTGAGGGAGGGATGTGGGTTTATCTCCTGTGTGTGCCATGGATCACAAACTCCAGATCCTCTGCCACCGTGTCTCCTCTGTTAGTGCAGTGCAGACTGAGCTGTCTGTCCTGTAGAAGCTCACATTAGCAGTTCATTCAGCTGTATTCTCATTTAGTGCTTCCCAGCAGGAAGCCAGGAGTATTTTTGGAATACTCTCCATGAAGTGCAGCCCCTTTGGGGTTGAGGGAAGGACCTAGGAAAAGAGATGATGCTATTCTCTAATTCAGTTTTTTTGTTCTTTTCCAGGTCCTGATGACATCTTTATATTGATTTCTCTCTTCCTGTGAAGAAAGAAGCATCCATGGGGAATATACACCTAGGAGTCTGTTTCAGTGGTTTTCCCTTAACAGGAGAAGCTACTTTGTTTCTGTTAAGGAAATAGCAAAATCTCAGTTGCTTCATGCTCTAATTTTTTGAACACTGCCTTGATGAGCTGTGAATGTGCCTTAGGTTCACCAGAGAATTTTTTAAAGACTTGCAAAGTCCAGTCCTGGCAGTGGATACTGAACAACTCCAGTGCTGCTGTTAATGTTGATGAAATTGTATTGAGCAACACCAAAGCATCCTGAGGGTGTATGTGGTACATGACTCTGTAGAAATCACAAATTAGTATGTAAGTCCAAAGGTTGCTTTAATAAAGTTGGTGCTCCCTGAAAAAACTTCTCTTGTCAATCCTTAGCCAATCATGGTTTTAAGAACGCAGTTAAAAAGCAGATAAATGGGAATTTTTCTATAACCCAAATTGCTTTTGTAGCTTAGTTTTAGGGCAAGAAACCTGACAAATGAGTATTAATTGGGTAATGAGTAATTAGTTAATAAGGACAGGAGGTTTCAAAGGAGTCAAATCCAAGCTGGCATCCTGCAGCCATCTCCAGGAACACAAGAAATCTGCCAGGTATCTGCTGAGCCTGCCACCATGGTGGGTTTGATGCTTGTTACTCAGCTAAGCTTTGCAGGACAATTTAATGTGTAAAGGAGAAATTACAGCTGCTCAGAACTGGGAGGCTTCGATGTGGATGGTTCTGTGCAGGTCCTGGAGGTGGCCAAATCCAAGTTTGGCAGGGACAGGGGGTTGTGCAGGAGGGGAAAGCAGCCAGGGCCTGGCATGTGGACATTTTGGGGAGAGGAAGGGGCATTAATCCTGGGAGAAGGAGCTGGAGAGGCCCTGGAGCAGTGTGGGATCAGATAACTGCTGTGTGTTAGTGAATTCTGCATCAGAGGGAGGATGAACCTCCCCAAGAGCCCTGCAGTGCTGAGGGCGAGTGTCCCACACCTGCCCAGCTTCTCCCTGAGCAGCAGATAAGTAACTTGGAAAGTATGGGAAGGATAAAAGGGAAACAAACCTATCCTGAAAAGCAATCATCAGTCAAATGCTTAATTAAATGAGCTGTTGCACTGGAGTCAGCAGGACATTAACAAAAAGTAAAAAGTGATTTGGAACCTCAGAAAATCTCACACTTTGATGTGATTTCTCTTCCAGTAAGACATGTGTGTTCTTACTGGCTCTCTAAAGGAAGAGGAGTATCTTCATGGACCCCATTCCTACTGGAGAAGAGAGAAATGAGACAGTTTTTATTATTATTATTATTATTATTCCACAGGGGCACAGGTAGAAGGGTCAGGGAGGTGTACAGAGATAATAAAACATCAGGAACAAATCTCATTTATTAGGGGTTTGGGGAAGATTCAAATTACTGCATTTTCCCACATTATTCAATAACCTTACGCTCTTGCTTAGAAGTGAAGGAGGATATTGGAGATTTTTATCTTCTGAAACAGAGCTAAAGTGGAGGGAAAATGAGATGCCTGGTTCAGTGGATTAAATGTTAGGAGATAGCTCTTAATCTGGAAAGACCAGAGTGGGGTCTGGACTTTGCACAGAAACTTGGCTCTTGTGTTCTCTAAGCACTGTCACCGTGATATCTGGAGCACTGCTGCTCCCTAGAGTCAGGAAAACAGCCTTCCATCTGAAAAATCAGCTGGCAAGCAAGAGCCAGCCATGCCACACAGCTTTTCTTTCCTCCTGTGTTCAGTGGAAGGATGTTTTGTTCTGATATCAATGTGCTACATGGCTGGGACTGGAATAATTGCAATGTAATGCTCAGACATTAAAGATTCCCAGCCTACAAAATGCTAAACTTACATCCACTACCATCACATGGAAAGATGAAAGCAGCTTTAGTCTTGTCTCTCTTATGTAAATAGAGCCCCCAGAGGAGCAAAGTGTTTTTCCAATAACCAGAAAAGAATTAAATTAGGTTCTCAATCAAGAAAGAATTTTGCTTTATAAAAGCAGATAATAATTAATGCAAAGACTTATTTAACAATAAATCATTCTCATCAGTTGGGAGTTTGTTTTAATCTGGTTTGTCATTTTCTCTCTTGTGCAGAAAATGTCACATTCCTCTTCTCCATCATGTTCCCTTAAACAGTCAAAAGTCTTAATTTGGAACTGTTGATGGGAATTAGGAGGGTGATGTTCTCAATTCCAAGGTGAAGAGCCTGAAAATGCAGGAGGCTGAAGAGCAGAGGTTTAAGCCTGTCTCCACCTCTGACAAAGCCAGAGCTCACCCTGGGCAGCACAAGGGCCTGGGAAGCTGCCTAGGGAAGAAAAACCTGCCTGGAGAATTTCCCTACCTCTTTAATTTGCTGGCTCATGCCCTCCAGCAGCACCAGTGCTGGTCTTTGATCCTCACATCTGCATTCCTCTTATCCAAATCAATGTTTTCTCCCTTTCAGCTTGTCTTTTAAGGCATTTCTGTGCTGGCTGACAGGCTGGGGCTGTGTGATACCTCTGCAACTTCCAGGATGTTTGAACAGCTTATCAACAAAGGGCAGAGCATTGCCAGAACGTGCAAAGGCAGCAAAGCCGATGAGCCACCGAGTGCTGCAGAGCTCACCGAGGAGCTGTTTCAAGCCTTCCATGGCATGTCCAAAGAGCTGCTGGAGGCTCCTGGGAGCCCTTCAGCTCTCAGGGGAGTAGAGTTTGACCAGGTGCTGCAGCTCTGTGGCATAGCCCGTGACTGGGCAGCGCTGGTGAGCCTTCACAAAGCCATGGGCACAGCGGTAGCAGAACACGAAGCCGGACGTGGCCAGGGCCGTGGCGTTGACGCGCACCTTGCGGCACAGCGGGCACACGGACTTCAGGCTGGGCAGGACAGCTGAGCTGGGCTCGTGATCCAGGTGCACAGGAGGTGGAGGGGTGGGGAGGGCTGTCAGGGACTTGATGGTCTCCTGGTTTTCTGAGGAGTACCACCAGTCCAGGAACTGGAGGAAGAAGACGCTGACGGACAGGCCGGTGGACAGCGAGAGGGCAACGGCACCCAGAGCTCTCTTCAGGGCCAACTGCACTCGAGAGGAAAGGCTGCAGCAGAGAGAAGCAGGGAGAGATGGTTACTGCTGCACATTTATCCATCTAGAAACCATGGGGAAAAGCATCTGGGGAGTGACTGCTTCATACAGCTCCTTAATGCTAAATTAGTTGGTCACTGTGTCCCATGTTTGCACTCATTAGGATGTTTCAGATTTTTATTTGAAGGAAGATCCAAGATGGTTACTGCTGCACATTTATCCATCTAGAAACCATGGGGAAAAGCACCTGGGGAGTGACAGCTTCATACTAATGCTAAATTAGTTGGTCACTGTGTCCCATGTTTGCACTCATTAGGATGTTTCAGATTTTTATTTGAAGGAAGATCCAAGATGGTTACTGCTGCACATTTATCCATCTAGAAACCATGGGGAAAAGCACCTGGGGAGTGACAGCTTCATACTAATGCTAAATTAGTTGGTCACTGTGTCCCTATGTTTGCACTTATTAGGATGTTTTGGATTCTTGTTTTTATTTTAAGGAAATCCAAATCCTGTTTTTTTTCAGAAGTCTAAATCAGAATAATTTGGATTAAAGGATCCTGGAGCACAGAGTGTTTCACTCCAGGTCACCATTTCACAGGGTATTCAGTGTAGCCATGACTAGCTGCTGCTTAGGAAAATCAAAGAAATAACTTTCAATCCTTTCAGCAACATTGCTGCAACTGCTGCACCTCCTTTGCTGGAAAAGTGCAGGGGAAGACTGAACAGAATAAAGGCTTGCATGCCCAAAAACACCCCCAAACTCTGAAATTTTATTACCACAAAATCGTTTCAAGCTAATCCCTGCTACTGGTTTCCTTATTTATACATAGACACCCTTTTGGAACCTATTTTGTCAGTGTGAACTTTCATCTTGAACTTTTAGAGAACAAGGCACTTTTACCTTGCAGCATCACTTCTAAATTTACACACCCACAGAGCCCCCTGGAGAACAACACCTGAGCCAGGTTCTGCCATACCTGTGTGTTTGACTTGAGGTGCTTTCAGCCCATTTCTTCTCCAGGGCCTGGATATCCTCTGCAGTCAGCCTGACCAGGCGGACACCAGCCAGCTTCAGCAAGGGGGAATGATGCTCAGCCTTGCCCAGGATGTAGCACAGCTGCTGGATAAGAAACCAGCCCTCCCAGGTCATGTTCACATAGGGGTAGGCAGCTAGAAAGGCTCTATAGAAGCGCTTCCAGGATGATGAGGGAGGGTGGATGGAGTATTCATCCTCTTCCCTCAGGCTGGACACCAGTTTCTCCAGCTTTCCTTTCAGGTAAGGAACAAAAACCAGCAGGAGCAGAGATTTCCAGTGGTGCCTCTTTGGCAGGCCAGCTGTGGCCAGAGGTTGCCGTCTGCCGTTTCCCATGGGGATCCTCTTCATGCTATAGAAGTTCTCAGAGAAGGAGGCGCTGCACCTGGCCAGGTAGTGCTGCTGGAGCAGCAAATCCAGAAGGACGTAAATCTCATCAAACCACCGCCAGAGGAACCCGTACCGGGCAGGATTGGACTCAGCAAGCACCTGTTGCAAAAGGGACACAAACCAAAAGGAATCAGAGCGGTTTGGGTTGGAAGGAGCATTAAAGACCATCTGGTTCCAGCCAGGCACCTTTTACTATCCCTGTGCTCCAAGCCCCGTCCAATTTGGATTTCAACACCCTCAGGGATGGGGCGGCCATAGCTTCTCTGCGCCAAGGCCTCCCCACCCTCACAGGGAAGGACCTGAAGGCAGAGTAAAATGCTAAATTATAAATCACAGCAGAAGTAAACGACGCCTCTAATTCTCAAACAACCCAGCTGGCTCACAACTGTCCCGCTGCCTGCGAGTGCGGCCGGAGTTGCACACCAGCCCTCCCTCCTCTCCCTTCACCCTCACCCTCAGGCTCACCTTGACCAGGTGCTGCAGGGCGGGTTTCACGGCGGCCATCAGGCTGTCCTGGGCCACCGCCTCGAACACGGACGGCCGCTCCTCACCGGCCGGGGCGGCCGTGAGGTGAGCGCCCACTTCCGCCATGACACCGCCACACCGCCCCGCCGCCAGGGGGCGCCGCGGCCCGGCCCCGCCCCGCCTCCCGGAAGCGCGGGCCGCCGGCGCTCCGCCCGCTGCCGCCGCTCTATGGTGGCGGGGCGCGGCCGCTCTGGGCGGGGAGGGTTTGATCTCGCTGATCCAAGTCCGCCCGGCCCCTCCGCTTCCGGTTCCGCCGCCGCCCCCGCAGCGGTGAGTCCGGTCCGTGAGTGGGGCCGGGGCTGAGGGGACGGGAGGGACACGGGGGACGGTGAGGGTCAGCGGCGGGACACTGCGGCAGGGCGGGTACGGATACTGCTGGGAAATTAGGAGGGGCTGAGGGGGCGCTGGGAGGGGTGAGGGCAGTGCTGGGGTGCCGCCATAGGGTGGGGAGGGTGCTGGGAGGGGATGGTGGGAGGAGGTGTGAGGGACTGGGGGGAACTGGGATAGGGAGGGGAGAGAAACTGCTCAGGGAAGGGCTGGAGGATGATGGGAGAGCGCTGGGAGGGGATAGCGGGGGGAGACCGGGGTGGGGGGACTGGTGTAGGTGGGAAGGGGCACTGGGAGAGGGAACTGGGATAAAGTGGAGGGGGCACTGGAGGAGGAACTGGGATAAGGTGGGAAGGGGCACAGGGGGGCATTGGGAGGGGGTACTGGGAGGAGGTGAGGGGTACTGGGAAAGGGAACTGGGATAGGGTGGGAGGGGGCACTGGGGGAGGTGAGGGGCACCGGGAGGGTGGGAGGGGTACTAGGAGGGGGGAACTGGAATGGAATGGGAGAGTCGCTGGTGAGGCACTGGGAGTGGCTCTGGTGATGTACTGGAAGAGGCCACAGGGAGGACTGGGCAGGTGGTTGCAGAGGAGATGGAGGGGTGAGAGGAGCAGGGTCAGTGGGTCCTGGAAGGAGACAATGGTCTGGGGTGAAGGATTGGACTGGGATGGGCCTTGGTGGGATGGGAATGAGTATTGCAAGGTGCTGGGATACTGGTGGGAGCAAGCAGGGATAAGGGCTGGGTGCTGAGAGGGACTGGGAGTGCTGGGGAGGGGAACTGGGATTTGTGGGGAATGCTCCTGTGACTGGGGCGTACTGGGAGAGATCTGGGGAATGGTGCTGAGGGGGAAGGGCTGGTGGGCAGGGGGCTTGAGGGGGGAACAGGGATGCCAGTGAAGGGTGGGTGGGTGCTGGGAGTCCTGCTGGAGGTGTGGGAGGGGCTGGGATGGGGCTTCCAGGGAATGGGCACCACCAAGGGGGTGTTTGGTCCCCAGGATGGGAACAAAATCCTGGTGCCAGCACAAGTTCAGGGCTGCAGGCACAGCTCCCCCTCTGCCATCCAGGTTCCATTGCTCTGTTTGTCTTCCTGGCTCTCCAGTGGCCCTGGGCCACGCTTGGGCTGTCACACAGCTCCTTGAGAGGCTTTCCAGGAAAAATGGGTGGCACCACTTCCACTGGAGTTAAACCAGGGATCACTGGAGAGATTTAGGGATTGATGGTTTCAATGTCCAGGAGCTTGCCTTAATCCCAAGGCCCTTAAACCTGCCCCCCTTCCTGTGTGGGATCAGTGCTGGAGAGTGGGTCAGGCTGACTGGGATCATGTGTGGGGTCAAGCAGGTGTTGCTCAGACACAGGGTCAGGTTTTCTGTGTGGGTTTGGGCTGAGGAGGCTTATCCTGCTTTGGTTCAGTCTGTATTGAAATGTCAAGGCACTGTTGGTAGCACTGAGCATTGCTGGAGCTTTCTGGAGCCATTCCTCCCTCTCATCTCTTCTCATTTGCTGGGGTTGGATCAGGAGGAGCCTTTTGCTGTCAGCTTTGAGCACCTCTTACCTGTTTCTGTCTCAGCACAGAACAATAGTGAGGAGGGGGCAGTCTAAAGCAGATTTTTCTTCTGAAAATACAAGGCTGTTCACGATGTTCTAATTTACCTTGGTTTTAGATTTACAAGGAGCTGGCATTTTCTGCAGTCACACAAACAGCAGTGTTTGAAATATCTGGTTCCATTTGCTGTAAAGCACGCTGAGATTGTTAGTGATGAGACAATACCCAGTGCTGCTGGCAGGCTGTCTCTGAACAGTGTGCAAAGCAAGCTCTGACACACATGAAGCAGCAATCTGGGTGCTTGTGAGAAAAGGAGCTTTTTCCTGAGCTGCACATGGAGTAGGGCAGGTTGGTTATTCACCTAAGGCACCTCTCATTTGCATCCATCAGAGGAGCCACGAGCTGTGCTTGGCCCTGTCTGAGTGTTTCTAGGATTTTTCATGTTTCCAAGTATATGAAAGGAGAAAAACAACAATATCTGAAAGGAGAAAAACAACATAATGTGCTGCCCTTGGGGTTTAATGACCGTCTCTGAAATGCAGCAGGGTTCCTTCCTCTCTGTGTGTAGCTTTATTCAACTGGGCTGATGTTTATGGTGTTTGGGTTGGGTTTTTTCCTCCCCCCCTCTATTTTCTTTCTAATCTGCTGCTCTGGCCCCAGCTAAAGCTGTATTAGAGTAGCTCAGCTGAGATGTGACCCTGGATGACAAATCCCCACATAATGCAAACAAAGAACATCGAGGCTACATTCAGTGCTTTTTGCATGGCACTGTGCCAAATACTCTGGCAGAGAAAAACATTTTAAGTCTTCCTTTTAAGCTGAGCTCAAACCCGAAGGACTCTGTCAGCAATAATGTTGCAGCTGAACACAGGCTCTGATTTTAATTACAATACAAGCTCCACAGCAGCCTCTGCTTTCAGGGAGGGGCTGTGAGATTTTTGCTGGAAAAATTACACTCATTGTGGCTTTCCCAACCCAGCCTCTGTTTTGGAAAGAGGTTAAACCTCCTCTGCACGAGGAATGTGTTTCTAGAGCTGTCTCCACAGGCTTGGCAGGAGCAGAAAGGGAGAGAAATCAAAGCAAACCCAGTCATTCAGCCTAATTGGATGAGGTGGAAACAGGGCAGGCAGCAGCTCCAGGAAGCTGGGATAAGCAACAGGTTGATCCTCATCCAGATGTTTGGCAACTGGACAGGATGATCCCATGAAAAAAGGGTGGAAATTGGGGCAGTGCCCCTCAGCAGCTGCTGGGAATTCAACTGCTGGGGTGTTCAGCTGATCCAGGTGGATGGGGGAACGTGGGAGGGTGATGGCATTGGGGTTGGTGAAGGGATGAGGGAGGAAAGGGTTAAGGAAGAACAGTTGGATTGCACTGCTGGGCAGTCCTGAGTTCAGAGCTGTGCTGGTCCTTTTGCTGCTGAGCCAGCAAGACCTGCAGGGTTTAGAGGCAAGACAGGCAGCATTTAGGGAACAGATGATTTACTGCTTTGCTGGCAGCCTTTAAGGTCATGGAAGGATGTGTAAGAAAAGGGGAATTGGGGCCAAAAAGATAGAAAAAGGAGGAAAGAAATGATAAAATCCTTTTTGAGATGGTTTTAGGGTCATAGTTCCTAGCATTGATACAGATTTTCATCAAAAGCAGTACAAGTGCCCACTCCTCTGCTTGTTTTGAAAATTGCTTTATATTTGTCACAGAGCTAGCAATTGTAAGAATGAAATTATGGATATCCACATATGTTTGGGCAATCCCTGTATTCCAAGGCATTAATTTAGTTCTGTGGAGCAAGAGAAGTACTGGTGAGACCACTCTTGTGGCTCTGCTGAGCATTTGCTGCTCCAACAGCATTTTTCCATCCTGTCCACAAAAAAAAAAAAAAAAAAAAGACAAAAAAACCAGAGAAGCACTGAAATAATGAGCTCTGTGTGTGTGTCTCAGAGGTGGGATGTCAGATCTTGGCAGAGAAATATTTCAATTTCAAGCTTGAGAAAACTGAAAAGTAATGGTTTCTCTTTTCAAAAAAAAACCACTGTTTTGCATCTGCTGGGAACAAAAGGAGGGAAAGCAATGAAAGGCCTGGGGGTGGGTGTTGCAAGCGGGGTTAATTGTGCCTTCCATCAGCTGCAGCACAGGCAGATATCGTTAGGGGGAGATGAGATGACAGTTTCCTTTGTCTGAAACATGGACTTCTCCTGCCAGGCGAGACACTGGATGTGCTTTTCCTTGGAAAATGAATCTGTGTACCCAGGAAAGGCAGCTGCAGAGCACACCAGCATCTGCTGGTTATAAGGAGTTCAAAAAATACCTTTTGCCTGCTGAGACTGAGAATTTAGGAAGCTGGGCTGAGCTCCACTGTTGTGTTTTTACCAAACCATTTAAATCCCTGCCTTTGCCAAGTAAAACCAGCAGCAGGTGCAGGATGAAGATTGGGGAACTCGTGCCTGTGGATGTGAAGCTTTTGCTTCCTCCTTCACTCACCAACCGTCCTTGCTCGAGTTCCTGCCTCACAAACTGGCTGTTGTCACCAAACTGCATTTGGAGCTGACTTGTTCTTTTTTTATTCCTCATATTCTCAGGTGTTTTAAGGAACTGGAACCATGACGGACTCCAAATATTTCACAACCAATAAAAAAGGTTGGTGTTGAGCTGGTGCAGTGGATTGGAGGTGGTGGGTGGTTATTTTTACACAGCTTTTTTAACTGCATGCAGGAGAACTTGTGTGCTTTTCTGGTAGCTCTGTCCCTGTTTCTCTTCTTAATCATCCAGGGAGAAACTTCCAAAGTAGGTCACATGGTGACAAAAGACAAAGCTGGGGTATTACACGTTTTTGTGATTCACAAAATGACCCAAATTGCTGTTTTTTCAAGGATCAGAAAGCAAAGCAATGGGATTTGAGTGCAGAGACAAAGTTCTGGTTGTGGGCTAACAGGTGCCAGGCTAGGCATGGTTGTTAATCTGGGCATCACAGGATGAAGCTGATGTGGGGAATTTAATATTTTGGATATATACATCAAGCAAACATAAAGGGTTTTCCTGCTTCCATTTTCTCCAAAGCTGCAGGTGCACTGTTTGACTTTCTTGTGCCTTCACTGCAGGTGTGGTTACCTCACCTCAGGACAAGCTGCTGCCCTTAAAAATGGGAATCCTGGAAAGGCTTTTGGGGATCACTTTACCCATTCAGCTGCTTCAGGGCAGGGCTTGTTCTGCTGAAACTGTCCCAGGCAGATTTTCTAACCTGTTCTTGAACAAAACACTGTTGCTGAGTGCAATTTAAGCCTGATCATTCTCCAGCAGATGTGGAAAATGGTTTGCATTAACCTCTCCTTTGCAAAATGGCTGAGTGCTCCCTCTGAATGCCTGCCAGTGAAAAAAACCCACACTGTTGATGTATTTATGTGTCATTAAGCTTCACAATGAGCTCATCAATGAACCTAATGCAGTTGACATCTTTCAGAGGAGTAACTCTGAAAGTTCAGAGCTGAAGGCAGGTTTTTGTGGGCTGGCTGCAGGCAGCCAGTCTGGGCTGGGTGAGAGCTGGAGCTGTCTCAGCTCTGCTCCAGGGCAGGAGCTCTGGGTGAGTAATGCCAGGCTCTTCCTCAGGCAGGAGGGATGACGAGTGGTCTCTGCACTGCAGCAGCTTCTCTTCTTTTTTGGAGTCCCTGGCAGTCTCTCTGTGTCAAATTTTAATTAGTGCTGCTGCTCTGAGCAAGTGTAGGAATGGGAAGTTGGTGCTAGAGCTTGTCAGGGATATTTGGATATTTGTAACATGTGCTCAGGCTGTGGCTCCCAGTGGGAATGCTGCTGGCTGTCCTTCCTGAGGAAAGCTGTCTGTCTGTCTGTCTGTTAGGAACATTATCATTCCCATACCACTGGCTCTGCCTGGAGCAGGCCTGATAAACAGCCTCTTGCACATCTTGTTTTATTCTATAACTTGATTGCCACTTTGGTGACCCAGCCTGAACTGGCTTTCTACACAGTCATATCTGGGGGAATTAATGCTGCTTTGGGAGCCTTGGAATCCAGACAGACTCTGTTTCATGCAGGGTAGCTCTGTCTTTTTAGCTTTTTTCCACTGGACTAAACACATGCTGTCCTGTTTCAGGAACCACAGCATTTGGGCTCCACTCCAATTTTCTGAGGAAGCTTTCAATGATGAGCAAAACTTAAAAAAGTCTGGGCAAAATTCCTAGCTTAGTTTGTTTCTTGCAGGCACGAATCTGGCATCTCCAAGTATCTTTTCATGCTGGTTATGTAATGGTTGCCTCAGAGAAACAGATGCTCCAGGGATGTGATTTGGTGTCCTGGAGGTGGGAGAGCTGCCACACGCAGCGTGGTTCTTGTTTGTGGCATTTTCCTCTGCAAGGTGGAGTCATATCAGTCCCTGGAGTGTTGCAGCTTTGCTTCTCACTGAACCATGTTCTGCACAAGGTCTGGCAGCTTCCAAGTGCAGCTGGAGCACTTTTATGATTCCCATAAAAGGCCAAGAAAGCAAAAATTCACTCTTGAATTACCCCTAAAACAAGACCCTTTTCTTCTCCTGAGAGGTTTAATCTGGTTTTTTTTTTTTTTTTCCTTCTGCCAGGAGAGATTTTTGAACTGAAGGCTGAACTCAACAATGAAAAGAAAGAGAAGAGGAAAGAAGCTGTAAAGAAGGTTATTGCAGCCATGACTGTGGGGAAGGATGTCAGGTAAAAGCAGTTTGTACCTGTGGCAGCTCAGGTTGTCCTGGGACTCAGGTGTGGTGACACATGGAACAGCTGAGGATGGCTGTGTCCCTGCCTGTGCTGTGCCTCAGTCACAGGTGTCTCAAACTCCTTGCTGTCACTGAAAGCAAGAGAAACAACTGTTTTCAGTGTGGGTTTAGCTCAGTGCCAAGAGCCCATTTTATTTAAAGCACACCCAGAATTCATCCATTTTGTGTGGCACTTTAGGTGATGTTTTCTTGCTGCTTGCTGTCCTGGATTTTAATGTTACAAAGGTAATTTCAACTTTTTCTTAGCCTTATCTGGCACAGCATAAATTTAAGCTGCATTTTAAAAAGGCTGATGTTAAAATTGAACCTGTGTCTTACTGCAGCTGAAGGACACTGGCATTTACTGTCCCCAATACTGTTTTCTGAGAGAACCAGAAAAACCTGGATGAATCCTTTCTCCCTTTCTCCCTCCTGTTCCTGGAGCCCAGCAGAGAATCAGTAATTCTGAATTCACAGCAGCCTGGTCTGTTGCCACGGAAATCAATATAAGCTTGCAAATTCAGCATCATGACTTCATCATAGAATGAAGGAACATATAAACTGAAAGGGAAAAAAACCCTAATCTTTCCTGCCAGCAGCATTTACCCATCACCTTTAGATCCCCACAGCAAACCTGGGAGCTGCAGAATCTTTGTGTAACTTCCTGTGTTATTCTGCAGGGCTGTTTACAGATGGCTGCTTGACATTTGAGTGAAGCTCAGCTTGTCAGTGTTTAAGCTTCTAATCACTCTGGACTTTGCTAGTCTGGAATTTGGCAGGTTCTTCATAAGTGTCCTGCATGACCAAAACATTTTAAAGCAACGTTTTTCCTCTTGTGGATTCATTTCCAGGGCTGGCATGGTAGAATTTCCTTGTTTGGTGAACTCCCTAGTTCATATTTAGGAAATGGCATTTTCACCTCCTCCTATGTTAAAGCTGTAGAAGAGGTTAAATTATTATTATTATAAAAGCCATTGCAAACTGCTTTGGAAGGGAAGGTGACCTTTCATTAAACAGCAGGGTGCTTAAAGTGGACCTCCAGTTTTTCTGGCTTCCTTGGTGCTGTTACTGTCCCCTTTGCATGCCATGCAACCTCTGGGTTTTATTTTGTGGGTGGGAGTGTGGATGTGCTGGAGGGCAGGAATGCTCTGCAGGGGGATCTGGGCAGGCTGAGTGCATGGGCTGAGGCTCAGTGATGTGAGGTCAGGTCACAACAACCCATGGAACACTCCAGGAATGAGGAAGAGCTGCTGGAAGGATGGAACAGGACCAGGAGTGCTGGTCAGATGTGCCCAGCTGGCCAAGAGAGCCAATGGCACCTGGCCTATGTCAGGAGCAGGGCAGTGATTGTCCCTCTGTGCTGGGCACTGCTGAGGCCACACCTCAGGTCCTGGGGTCAGTTTGGGGTCCCTCATGACACAAAGGACATTGGATGGGCTGGAGCACAGCTCTGATGAGGAGCAGCTGGGGGGGCTCAGCCTGGAGAAAAGGAGGCTCAAGGGGGACCTTCTCACACTCTGAACTCCCTGACAGGAGGGTGCAGCTGGGGTCAGTCCCTTCTCCCAGCTGACAATGAGAGGAGATAACCTCCAGTTGTGCCAGGGAGGTTCAGATGGGATTGAAACAGGCAGTGGTGGAGTCACCATCCCTGACAGAGTTTTTAAAGGTGTTTAGATGTGGCACTTGGGGACGTGGTTGTGGCAGTGCTGGGGGAACTGCTGGCGTTTCCTAACCTGAACAATTCTCTGATTGCATCCTTGTGTTGTGTATCCAGCTCTCTGTTCCCTGATGTTGTCAACTGCATGCAGACTGACAACCTGGAGCTGAAGAAGCTGGTCTACCTGTACCTGATGAACTATGCCAAAAGCCAGCCAGACATGGCCATCATGGCTGTCAACAGCTTTGTGAAGGTAACCTGCTCCCCTGGCACATCAGGAGAGGGTCCAGCACAGTGCCTGCCAGCACATCTCTTTGGCCTTTGGGAGCTTTATCTCTGCTTTGGGGCTGGGCTCATAGAGGAGGGTGCTGAATCCACCAGATTTGAGTCCTTTCTCAGTTGTTCCTTCTGGTTACTGCAGAGATGACTTCAGCAGCCCTGTGAGAGAGCCTGCTCCAGGGAAAGCTGCTTCTGTTGTTTTACCAACTTCTGCTACTGGAAAACAGATTTTATCTGTTTCATCTTCCAGCCTTTGTAGTGTCTGAGACATGGATATCAAACTTCCTGTTTGAATGTTCCAGCTGTGCTCTGTGTGGAAAACCTTTATCTCTGGTGAAACTGAGAGACAGTTCACTGGAAAAACAACAGCCTGATTGCTGGCTTGCCTTTAGTTCTCTTGTCAGGTTGCCTCTCCTTATCTAGGAAATGTTATTCCACTCTCATGTTGTGCAAGATAAAACCCAGTGCTTAGAAGAAGTTTGAGACTCCTTGTAGTGTTATAAAATATGAGACACTGGGGAATGGGATTGGGTTCCAAGTTTCTTTTCTGATTCTTGAGGCAGAAGGAGGTGAGAAGACCTAAGCTGAGAGATCTGCTCTTCTGGTCAGAGAGGATGTCCCTGTCTTCCTCTCTGGAAAGAATATTGTCTGGCAGGTCGGGATGAGGCACACTGGTGTTATCTTTTATACTAAAAACTACTCTGTACATTATTTACAATAACTTCCCAATACCTATCACCTATGTTAGACAGTGAGTTTCTACTCTAAACAATCTAAACCAATCTAAAAATGCCACCATCACCCAGAAGATGGAGGCTAGGAAGAACAAGGAAAAAGGACAAGGCACGCCCAAATTCCTCCATCTTGGGACTCCAAGCCCCCATTCTAAAAACCTCAAAAATCGATTTTCCCCTCCGTGACAAACTATTATTCTACTTCAACTTTCTTCACTTGTAATTCTTCATATAAACGTTGGTAATTGTTTTTTCCAAGGGCTAAATCAAAGGCACAGGGGCCTTGGGCTCTGAGCCCCCTGGCAGGGTCTCGAATCCTCCAGGGCAGCCAGAGGAATTTCCTGGGTTCTGACACTTAGCATGCAATCAGAGAGATGCTGCTCAAGTAAGAGCAGTCTGGTTACAGGGAATCTGCTGCTGCAGGTGTGTTTGTGTCATTGCAGGACTGTGAGGACCCAAACCCCCTGATCCGTGCCCTGGCCGTGCGCACCATGGGCTGCATCCGCGTGGACAAAATCACCGAGTACCTGTGCGAGCCCCTGCGCAAGTGCCTGAAGGATGAGGACCCCTACGTGAGGAAAACTGCAGCTGTGTGTGTGGCCAAGCTCCATGACATCAATGCCCAGATGGTGGAGGACCAAGGGTTCCTGGATTCCCTGCGGGATCTGATTGCAGACTCCAATCCCATGGTAAGGTGTTCCCAGCACGGTGCTTTATTGTAAGTTCCTGTGGCAGGGAAGAACGATGCATCTGACTCCATGTTGTCAGAAGGCTAATTTATTACTTTATAATACTATATTATATTCAAGAATACTATACTGAAGAATACAGAAAAGATACTTACAGAATGCTAAAAAGATAATAATGAAAACTCGTGATTCTTTCCAGAGTCCTGACACAGCTTGGCCCTGATTGGCAAAGGAGTCAAAACAATTCCCAGAACTCACATCCAATGAAACAATCACCTGTGGGGAAACAATCTTTAAACACATTTCACATGTGAGCACAACACAGGAGAAGCAAATGAGATAAGAATTGCTTTCCTTTTCTCTGAGGCTTCTCTCATTGCCTTTCAGTTCCCCAGGAGAAAAATCCTGGGCGAAGAATCATGTTCAGAGAATGTGAGTGCCACATGCTTGAGTTTGTGTTGTTTGGAAATCATAAATGTGAAAGGTTCTGAGATGATTTTGGTTAGGGAACACTTGTGTTGTTTGGAAATCATAAATGTGAAAGGTTCTGAGATGATTTTGGTTAAGGAACACTTGTTGCCTCAGAAAACAGGGAGTATCTTCTGTTGTTTGATCTGCTTGGGCTTTTGCCTGTTTTAACTTCCTGGCTAGGTGAGTCAGAAGAGCAAGAAATATGTGATGGTGCTGCCTTGGTGACAGCTTGTAGCTCTTGCTTTCCTGCAGGCTTTGGCTCTTCTTGGAGTAAGAGTTTGGATGAATTAATTTGCTAATGCAGATAAATTCACTGGCTTGTAATGAGTGAAGAAAATCAATGCTAATGTTTTTAATAAAGTTAAATGAGTTGTCAGAGGAGAGGTGGAGATCATGACCAGGAACTTCACAGGAGTAAATTACCTACTAAATCAGCATTTAATTATGCTTGGTGAAGGGTCCACTTCCAAGCCAGGTGTCTCCTGCTATTATTTTGTGACTAAAAATTTGTGGTGGCCAAGGAACTGAAGTGTCCCACTGCATCATCCTTCCATTGAATCCTGTTTCCTGCTGGAACCCAGGGAGCATACCAATATCAGCCTGACCCTTAGCAGGGAAGAAAACTTCTGCAGCTCACTTCAACTCACAGTTTATGAATGTGACTGCTGCTTTTTTAGCTCTTTTAGAGAATGGACTCTGGTTAAAGAAATAATCTCACATTATTAGGGCAGGTTTAACAGCTCTTCCTGTGGTGCATGAGTCAAACCACAGAATTTCTGTTCTGCTGTAGTTTTTGGGCACCTGAGATAAAGCAAGTGCAGGTGATAAGGTGCCACCCCCTTCAGCAGGAGAGTGAAGGCTGCTGATTGCTCTTTGTAAGACTTTGTAGAGACAGTAAAACTCGAGGTGTCTGACTGTCACAGGCAGCAGTCTCAGTGGTGGTGTCTCTCAGGAGATACAGACACCTCTTTCTCTGATATCCAGCTCTTTTACAAGTTGTTCTTTTTATCTGCCTCCCTGATTTTTTTTTTTTTCTTATGCCAGGCTTCTCTGTGAATATTGATGACTACTTGAAGGTGCTTTCTTTGTCTAGGCAGCTGCTGGTTTAATATAACATTTAATCTGGCTACAATTTTAGTAGAACAGGAAAAGAAATTTTAGAAGAAAGAAAGAAAGAAATTTTAGTAGAAATTTCAACTTAACTAACCTTTTAGTTAAGTTGATCTTCTTGGAAATTCCTTCCTTTGTGGCACAGTGGCTCCCTCAAAAGCACAGGAACCATCCACCCCTCATTAAGGTTCATCTTCCTGGTCAAACCATCCACTTCATTACTTTCTCCATGTGAAACTTCCTGATGTACTTGAATTGTGTTTGCCAAATAAGTTATATTTGTGTGCAAGTTGATATTTATTAAGGTATTTTTCCTTGGAATGCAGTCCTGCCCAGAAGGTCTTTTTAAGTAAAATGTGTGTATCAGTATTGGCTATCAAAAAGAAAAGATTGCTGGAAGGAATGGTACAGATGGATCTTTTCTGATGGCCTATGCCTCTGTAAATGGTGCATCTCAATCATTGCAACCTGTTAGCCAAGCTCATTCATATTTATATTATAAATGTTTCTCCTCTTTTGATGGCTTGTGGAAATGGGCAACATTAGACACTTAATGAAGCAGAATTTTTGAGATGGGAAATCCACACTTGTTCTCTCTTCTGAGAAATGAGGATTTTGAGCAGGAGCTAAAAAAGGCTGCAGCTGAAAAATAGTCTTGAAGAAGGGTTTTATTATGGCTTTGTAATTGGTTGCCTCTAGCACATGAGCAAGCTCTAAGCATTTTAGCTGGGTGTTGGTAGAGGAACATCTCCATCTGTGGTTCACTAATTGCCTCATAATTGTGCAGGGATCAGGGTGCATATTTCTCTGGGCTCAGATCACCTTCATCATAAGCATGTCTAAGTTGGAGGTGACCTTCTCAGAAACATTTTGGGTTTATTCTTTTTTTTTTTTTTCCTTATATTTCTGGATTAATGGCATTATTCTGTGTTAATAAAGCAGCAGCCTTTGGGGATGTTCAGGGCATTGAAGTCCTGTTGAGGTGCTGTAGGTGCACAGCCAGGGCTCTTTCCCCTTTATCTGTTTTGTTGTTGTTGTTGTTGTTGTCAGGATGTTGCCTCAGTTCACATGAGGTGATTTTCTGTGAAGGTGCAGCCCCTGGGTGAATTAATTCAAACTTCTAATTGCAGAATATTGATAGGGATGTATCTGGTGAGGTGGGCTGGTGGCTTTTGCCACGGCAGCAGAGTTCTCTGAGTTGTGTTGTGCAGGCCATGGCCCAAAACTCTTTACAAGGGCAGGGTTCAGCTGCCCTGCAGAAGTTTGATTGTGGAGAAGTCTTTAATCTCATTTTCCAGATGGCTCTGAAGTGCCTATGACTGCCCTTTATCAGTTGGGATCCTGCTGAAGAGGATCCTTCCATAGAGGGGGAGCCCTCATTTCTTCCCAGAGCTGTCTTAAGCCAATCTTTCTTTTTTCACCCTGCATTTCTGCCCATGAAGCTCAGCAGAGGCAGGACTGCAGGAATAGAAAGCTGGGGCCTGGCTGCCTTGGGCTGCTGCACTTGCTCAGCCCTCAGCACCTCTCTTGCTGGTAACCTGGCTAAAATGCAACTCAGAAGCCTGTTCTCGCATAATCCTCATGTTCTAACAAAAATACGGTTCCAAAATGAAATTTTTGTGCCCTAACACTGTTCACAGCCAGCAATAGGCCACAGTGAGGGGAGAGAGGTGGGAGTGTTTCACACCTACTGGTGGCCAGAGCTTCTCTGAAGTCATGGAAAAACCTTCTTTTGTTATTTTTTTTTTTCCTGCTGCTGTCTTGTTCTGGCCTTGCAATGACTGCTCTTCCTTGGAGCATTGGAGGTGCTGAGCCCAGGAGAGGGAGAGCAGACCACGAGATGGCAGCAGCTGAAAGCAGAACCAAAGCTGACTATCTTTAGACACTTTATTTTGTAACTACTTCCCTCCTGGTTTTTTTATCCCTGCACTTGGTTTTCTTCAGGAATGTAAATATTAGCAGAAAAACATGAGAGGAAATCCATATAAAACCTTACTGGTCTTTTAACATTTGAATGGAACAACCTTTCTCTCCAAATATTTTCAATCCTTGACCTTCTAAAGTAACTTTTAACCCATGCAATAGATTCCTTGCCAATCTCTGTTATCTGCATGGCTTAAGTTAACTGATGTCACCTTCTCCCTGCTATTTTCTAGGTTTTTGCTGTTCAGTTTTCAGTTCCTTCCTGTAGCATTTCTCCTTCCTCATGCTGGATCCAAGGTTTTTCAGGTGTGGCTGTTCTGTGTTTTTGTGGACTGTACAGACTTTTTGTTCTGTGTTTTACATCCTCTAGATCACAATTTATTGTGAGAAACATTCTTGGGACTCAGCATAAGCTGAGATCACATAATTGATTAGTAAATGCACCAAGTGTGTGGGGTATAATTAAACTCTCTTGTAGCTGGGAGGTTTTTTACTTTTAACACTAAGAAGGGAATCTGAGATCTGACAGTGGAGGTGGGGAGGTCCAGCTTGATCTAATCCAGATTCCCTCCAGCAGTATTGAGTTTCCACAGCTCACAGATGAGACTAAAAACCTGTAGGGATAAATCAGAGTGTTCTCCTGCAAGGGATGTGGGTTCCTTCTCTGCCAGAACTCCAGTGCCTGTGTGGAAGCTTCCTGGGTGACCCTATGGAGGAAGATGATCTTCCTTTTATTTTTCCTGCTAGCTAGCAAGCAGAATGTCTCTGAGCTGATGTCCTGAGGAATGAGCCTGTTTAGAGACAAAAAAGAGCTTTTGCCTCCTGGGCCTGTCCTCTGCAGGAATTTTATCCTTCTCTTTCTATTAAAGCTGAGAAAAGAACCCCTTGGTGAGAAACTGGTGATCCCTTGAGTCCCAAAAGGGCTTTGTGGGAGGCAGTCAGGGATGTGGGAATTGTCTTATCCAGCAGGGAGTGGAACAGCACCTTCTCCCTGGGCACAGGAGGTCACTTGTTCCTCATGGGGACTCTCCCAGGCCTGTGTTTTCCCTCTGCAGCTGGTGTTTTCTTCTGGTGGGAGGAGTGAGCTGTCACTGCTGGATGAATTCATGATTCCTGCTCATGAAGGTTGTAAGGACTTGAAAATCCACATCCCAGTGTGGAGCTAAATATTGCTGGGAGCTGTGGGCTCTGCAGCATCTCATCAGCCTGGGGCTGCTCCAGGATTCCCTTTCTGTCTTGTTGCCAAAAAAAATACCCCTCTTCTTTTCAATCCAAGTACTGCAGATGCAGGCTGGATCTTGAAGTCTTCCAACCATGTCTGAATTGATCCTGTGTGTGGTTTGGGGGTTTTTTATAATGTTTGTGCTGCAAGTAGAGATAATATTTCCTTCTGGGAGACACTTGATGGCATTTGTGGGTGGAATTTCTTTTACCCAGTGATGGATATGTTGCAGTGAATGAGAACATTGCTTGGGGCTGTTGAGGAGTGGTGGTGG